GTGTGTGTGTGTGTGTGTGTGTGTGTGTGTGTGTGTGTGTGTATGGTATGTGGTGTGTATCTGGGACTGGGAAGTAAGTGTTGAGAAGTAAATTAGTTCTCTGGCAGCTGCTGATTTTAAAATGATCCTGTTCTGAGGCAAGAGTCAATAGCCATGCATAATTATTTTCTTGTCCTTGGCAGTGGGATGTTCTACGATGGGAACCATACCTATCTCATTGAACCAGAAGAAAATGACACCTCCCCAGTAAGTGCTCCTTCTGTTTTCTGTGGCAAATGTAAAAATTGAGATTGGGAGCTTTTCCCCTTCTTTTTTCCTCCTCTTTTTGTCTCTATTTTATTTTCTTATTTTTAGAGTCAGGATAATAAATATAAATATATCCATATATATAAAATTAAATACTAAGTCAAAATCACACAAGTGGGTTTTTTTAAGTCTGTGTTTTACTCTGTATATTGGAAATACTTTCTGAGGTGTTCTGAAGCCTCCATTTTTGTTCTTTCTCCACCATAATGTGCTATGATTTGTCTTAGTTTGCTCAGGCAGTCATAACAACACAGTGGGGGGCTTAAACAACAGAAATTTATTTTCGCACATATTTCGCACACTGGTGACTGGAAGTCCAAGATCCGGGTGCTGGCAGGGTCTGTGTCTGTTGAAGGCTCTGTCCTTGGCTTGTGATGGCCTCCTCCCTGCTGTGTGTCCACATAGCAGAGAGACAGAGCTGTGGTGTCTCTTCTTATAAGGGCACCTGCCCCACCCCACCCTGAAGACCTATTTTAACCTTTATTGCTTTTTCATAGGTCCTGTCCAAATACAGTCACATTGGGAATGAGGGCCTAAACATAGGAGTTTTGTGGGGGGACACAAACATTCAGTCTCTAACAGACCAACTCAATAGAAATGTTATTTTCCACCTCTCTTTTCTAGATTTCAGATTTTTCTCTGTTGCCTGTTGTCTGTAGGGCCTTGTGCTGATGAAATGTAGGGAAATCTAAGTTTTCTTAATTCTCTCCTTCCTTTTAGTTGCAACATGCATTTTCCACAAATTAGAAAAGCATTGAGTTTATATTGTAGACTGCAGAGAGAAACATAATACACTTCCATTCTTGCTCTGTGCACACAGATATTCTTCCTTGTATTCAACATTGTTCACTTAGGCAAGTAATTTCTAAAAATATACACTGTTTTGCCTCCCATAAAGGGAAGTGAATTATTTTTAACTTTTTTGTTGTTGTTGTTTTTATTTTTTTTTAAAGATTTTATTTATTTGACAGAGAGAGACTAGCAAGAGAGGGAACACAAACAGAGGGAGTGGGAGAGGGAGAAGCAGGCTTCCCGCTGGGAAGGAGCCTGATGAGGGGCTCAGTCCCAGGACCCCAGGATCATGACCTGAGCCAAAGGCAGACGCTTTACTGACTGAGCCACCCACGTGCCCAGGGGAAGCTATTTGTATTGTATTGTATTTTCTAGATGCCTGTTGTTGACTTTTATATCACTTTGCCTGGACAGGTGAAATTTTTTACAACAATATCATGAAACTTGACTGTTTATGACATTCTATTTTTTTTAATTGAAAGGAGCCAGAAATAATTATTTGAATGTTCATTAATTTTTCTTAGATGAAACATGGCTTTTTGTCTGTTGGTTTGTCACAGAACTTGTATGACATTTGAATTTTGGAGCAAGGTCCATTTGGCCATCTACTTACGCCAGTCATCTTAACTCCCTGATACGAGACGAGTGTGAGCTCTGCAATCTTTGCCTGGCAAAACTGTCTGGCTCTAAAAGTGGGTCAGGGATCCATGGAAAGGGACCAGTTATAAAAAGTATTAGCCCATTTTCCCAGATGTCTTACTTCTCCTTGGGGAAATAGGTTCATTCATTTATTTTCCATTACTACAGGCTTTGGCTTCTCTGTCTGCAGAGGCATTTTGTTTCTAATACGTGCTGGGGGAATCTGGGAGCAGGAGAGGGTTGTGAGGTGGCCCATTGCCTTTTCAAATCCAGGAGAGTGCGTAGTCAGGCTGTGGTTATTTTAGGAGTCTCAGCTTCTTCAGCTCTCATTGCCTGAGACTGAAGATAACTGGTTGCCTGTGCTTAATCTTGGTTATTTGTGTTCTTTCAGGAGGATTTCCATTTTCATTCAGTTTACAAGTCCAGACTGTTTGAATTTCCTTTGGATGATCTTCCATCTGGTATGATATTCATATTATGACTTTGAAAAAAAAGTCAACTTTAATAATTCATTTGAGTGCTTTAGAGCTAATCTATATGTGGAATACCCTTAGCTCATGACTGCTCATAACAATTTTAGAGAGAAAGGGACGTCAAGTCAAGGACATCAAGAGGGAGAATAAAATGCAAACTGACTTCATGTTTGTAGTGGATGAGTTTGGAAAGATACAGTTTGAGCACATTGAAGGAGACTTTTTAAAATTAGAAAAAGAGCAAGGTATTTCTGAGTGGAGAAATAATGTTAGGGCAAAAATTGGTCTGCATAGACAAAATATAGAAAACTTCACTTTCAGTGAGATACTGATTCTGTTAACACAGGGATGAACTTGTAATCATTTTCCTATTTGTTTTCCTCATCTCTTTTTGCCTCACCATTTTAAGAAAGAACGATTATAGATTAACACTTTTTATTATTTTTTAAAAAAGATATATTTATTTATTTTAGAGAGGGGGGAGGGGCAGAAGGGGAGGGAGAGACAGAATCTCAAGCGGACTCCCCAATTAACACAGAGCCTGACACAGGGCTCGATCTCACAACCCTGAGATTTTGACCTGAGCTGACGCCAAGAGTCAAACCGTTAACCGGCTGCACCACCCAGGTGCCCCTAATGCTTTTTATTTTTATGTGCTTTTTTTTGTGAAATTAGTCTTTGCTTCTCATGTGTGTTTGTTTACATTTATTTATAGATCTTAGTTTGAGTTGCTTCCAAATCTTCACATGACAAGTAGGGCAGAGTACTTATACTTTGCTCGTTAGTGGAGCAGTGATTGTATGGAGTGCATTTGTCTTTGGCTCTACAGGACTTAACCGGTTTTCTCCTACTGAAGGTAGAACACACTCAGAATGTCTAATGTGGAGAAGCTTCCTTTCCTCCTTAGTGAGCCCTGACCATGGCTATAGTACATTCTAATTTTTAATCTCATTTTTATCTTCGCTATAGCTCTGTGAGATTGATAGAATTATTCACATTTTGTAGATGAAGAAACAGGCTCAGCCAGCCTGTCTTTTCCAGGGTCCGACAGCTAGTCTGGGACTGAGCAGGGTGTGGATCGTGCCAGTGTGAGAATGTGTGCTTGGAGAGAGGCGCAGGGGAAGTGGTAGAATCATCCGACTAAGAGCACATCCTTATAAACTACTGCTTAGGAAAACCACTCAAACGTTTACATTGTTGGGGTGCCTGGCTGGCTCAGTTGGAAGAGCATGTGACTCTTAATCTCGGGGTCATGAGTTCAAGCCCCACATTGGGTGTAGAGATTACCTAAGTAAAAACTTAAAAAAGAAAAATTTACATTGTTTCCTCATTGGAAAATGAAATGAGTGTTTGCTAAGGTCCCTTCTCTAAAGTAGATTTCTAACTCCTTGATCTTCTACCCAGTTCTTCTCTCCTGCTGCAAAAGGGATAGAGGATCCTGTTTTACGGAACTCACTATTTTGAAAAATCTGCAAATAAGCATATAGATGCTCTTACTTTACACAGACACTTTAGGCTGTTCCTTCAGACAGTATGAAACTTTTTACAGTCCCTATTGTGGGAGGAAAGTAAATCATGACTAGGTTCCTGAGAATAAAGCTACAATCTAATAGGTCTTATTGGAAGCAATGAACATTAATTAATATTTAAAGTAATAAATAAGGATCCCCATAAGGACTTTAATGTAATCCAATTGTACAATTTGTTTTTTAGAATGAAGTGTTTTCCATCATAGTGGATTCTTTTTTTTTTTTTAAGATTTTATTTTAAAGTAATCTCTATACTCAACGTGGGGCTTGAACCTACAACACTGAGATCAAGAGTTGCACGCTCTACCGACTGAGCCAGCCAGGTGCCCCTAATTATACAATTTTTAAAAAAACTTTGTTCAGGGTTACTTTCCCACAGAAACTTTAAAGATGACTTGGCAGTTTTGCTGTAATTAAAATTAACTTTCAACATCTTCCAAAACTCAGGTCTGTCTCAATTAGTTTCTGGTTTTCTTTTCTTGTCAGAAGTTGGCACTGTCAATTTTAAGAGTGTTATTTGTCTTTCTAGATGCTTGGATTTATGATAAATTAGAAAAAAATTCTTGTGAAATAAGCTCAAGAGTAAGCTTTTTTTATTTTAGATTTAATAAAGTTTTCCTGGGTCCTGGATTATCAATACCTTTGTCTTGCTATGCATTTTGTATTTCCTAGAGATAGAATATGATCAGATGTTCCCCAAACTTGTTTAACTTATGGAACCTTTTGTTTTATATGACATAGCTCTTAGGATTAGTGTCCCTAAGAAAACATTTGAGAAAAGTTTATTTATTTCCTACAGACCCCTTAGCACAGTCTGTTTTTAAAATTCCTACCAGGAAATATATAAATCTTGTATACCATTAGATGATTTGGCACACGTGCACTCACTTGGTGAGATTTGGCACATTCCCATCATCCTGGTACCCTCCTTTGTGCCTCTTCCCAGTCAGCACCACACACTTCTGCAATCCCTTTTCTGACTTTTAGGTTAGCCTGTTTTAGGTCTTCATGCAAATGGAATCACACACTGTGTTCAGCTTCTTTTGCTTAGCATGTGCCCAGGAGATTAATGTTGTGAGAGGTGAGCAACAGTTCATTCTTTGTAATTACTGAGTATGTTCTGCTGTTTATTTATTTATTTATTTTTAAGATTTTATTTATTTGACAGAGAGAGAGACAGCGAGAGAGGGAACACAAGCAGGGGGAGTGGGAGAGGGAGAAGCAGGCTTCCCGCTGAGCAGGGAGCCCGATGCGAGGCTCGATCCCAGGACCCTGGGATCATGACCTGAGCTGAAGGCAGATGCTTAACGACTGAGCCACCCAGGTGCCCCTGTTCTGCTGTTTAAAGTTACCACAGTCTTTTATCCATTCTGTTGATGGACATTTGGGTTGTTTCCAGTTTTTGGCTATTAGGAATAAAAGGACTCTAAACCTTCTAATAAAAATCTGTTTTGTGGACACGTGTTTATATTTCTTCTGTCAAATACCTGGCAGTGGAAATACCGGGTCTTAAGGTAGGTGTGTATTTGACTGTATAATAGTGTTTCTCAAACTGCAGAATGTATCAGAGAATCACAGGCTGCTGGCTCCATGTCTAGAGGGCTTTTTCAAGCCCCTTAATTGAGATACGGTTGACATTAGAGAAAAGCTGTATGTAATTAATGCATACAACTTGACGAGTTTGGATATAAATGTACATCCATGAAGTCATCACCATAATCTATGCCATAAGCGTACCCATAACTCCAAAAGTTTCTTTCCACTGTCTTTATTATTGTTATTGTAGTATTAGTAGTAGTAGTGAAAAGAATACAATGTAAGATCTACACTGTTAACAAAATTTATATATGCAATATAATATTGTTAATTCTGGCCACTCTGCTGTACAGGAGATCTTTAGGACTTATGCATCTTGTACAACTGAAACTTTGTGCCCTTCAACTAATACCTCCCTGCTTCCCACTTTTCTCAGCTCCTGGCAACTATCATTCCACTTTCTGCTCCTAGGAGTTTGACTATTTCAGATTCCTCATATAAGTGGTATCATGTAGTATTTGTCCTTTTGTGTCTGGCTAGTTTCACTTAGTGTAATGTCCTCCAGGTTCATCCGTGTTGTCACAAATGGAAAGATTTCTTTTTTTTTTAAGGCCAAATAATACTTTATTGCATATTCATACCATATTTTCTTTTTTTTTTAAAGATTTTATTTATTTATTTGAGAGAGAGAGAATGAGAGATAGAGAGCATGAGAGGGAAGAGGGTCAGAGGGAGAAGCAGACTCCCCGCTGAGCAGGGAGCCCGATGTGGGACTCGATCCTAGGACCCTGGGATCATGACCTGAGCCGAAGGCAGTCGCTTAACCAACTGAGCCACCCAGGCACCCCCATAACATATTTTCTTTATCCATTCATCCACTGATGAATATTGAGGTTGTTTCTATATCTTGGCTATTGTGAATCATGCTACAATGAACATGGGAGGACAGGTATGTCTTTGAGATCCTGATTTCAATTCCTTTGACTATATACCCAGAAGTGGGATTGCAGGATCAAATGGTATTTCTATTTTAATTTTTTGAGAGGAACTTCCTCTCAAACTGGCTGTACCAGTTTCTAGAGTTTTTGATTCAGTTCATCATGGATAGGTTATGAGAATTTGCATTTCCCACAAGTCCCCAGGTAACGTTGATGTCTTTAGTTTTTGAATTGCACTCTGAGAACTCTGGTTGTATGAGAATTGCTGAACCTTTTTCTTAAAGTGGTTATACCATTTGACACTCTCATCAGCACTATCTGAGAGATCGTTTCACATCTTCACCAGCACTTGGTGTGTCATTCTTTAATGAAGGTCAGTCTTGGAAGCCTAGGCTGGCTATTCAGAAGATTCTTGATAAAGAATGTGGTAGTATTTATAGGAAAAATATGAGAAAAATTTGGAGATAAATTTTTCAAATTGTATTCATTCATGATATATTTTATTTAGTATTCATATGAACACAATTTTTTTGATTAATGTTCTATATTTAAGTGTAACATACATTATAAAATTTATAACCATATAGTTATAATTATATAATTTGTAAGTTATGATTTATATTAATTATTAATAACTATAACAATTGCTAATAGTTAATAACTAAATTGAATATAATTATATAATTTATATGACGAAGGGATAGTAAAACTTTGCCCTGTCTGAAAGAAACCTGGCAAATGCACTAAATTCATTTATTTTTATTTCCTTTTAGAATTTCAACAAGTACACATCACTCCACCAAAATTTATTTTGAAGGCAAGACCAAAAAGAAGTAAACGGCAGGTATGTATTCACAGGTATATTCCATGACGTTTTAAAAACACTTGGCAACTGCCAGTTGTTTAACTCTACATTAAGTCTCTATAAGAGGGTTAAGTCTTAGTTCAGGCATTTGTCAGGGTGTGGTAAACAGTAAGATGACAGATCTGTAGGAGCTGTGGAGGGAGGTCATGTTGTTTCATAGACTCAAAAAGGACTCATGATAGTGTTGATAATATGGTTATTCATCATAAAGGCAGATTATGGCCCTACCTATGGCATCTCTGGTTCTTTCTATCATAGGCCTCTTTTCTTGCCTGGGTTGTTTCACGTCATGGAGTCTACTTATAAAGATACCCCCTTGAGAGGGAATCCATCAGGTTTTAAAGCCACAGAATGCTCTTGTCACCCTTGAGCTACGTTGGAGTCTGGGATATAAACTCAGGATGTCCACTTTATGAATGTTCAGTGGATCTTGGACTTAGCAAAAATAATAAGTCCTTGTATCCTGCTTTACACCACATGAAGTGTAGGTACTGTTAATCCCCTTTCACAGGAAAAAAAAAATGATGTCTTTGAAATGTGAAAATGACCAGAAACGTAGAGCTGGGAAATGGTTGAGATAGAATAAGAACTCTAGTCATCAAAATTCCATATGATTTCTCTCATTTGTGGAGTCTAAGATGTATAAAATGAATAAACAAACAAAAAGCAAAATCAGATCTGTAAATATAGAGAACAAACTGGTGGTTGCCAGAGGGAAGTGAGTGGAGAGATGGGCAACATGGGTGAAGGACAGTAGGAGACACAGGCTTCCAGGTAGGAAATGAGTAAGTCGTGGGGGTAAAGGGCACAGCACAGGGAATAGTCAGTGATATTTTAAGAGTGTTGTCTGGTGACAGATGGCAGCCACCCTTGCAGTGAGCACAGAATAACGTATGAAGTTGAATCACTAGGTTGTACACCTGAAACTAATGTAACATCGTGTGTCCAGTATACTCAAAAAAGAAAAGGAAACAACAGAACCCTGGTTGGTTATTAGAATTAAGATATCATGTATTATGTATGTGTGTTTGGCATAAAAAACACAGGGTGAGAGAAATGGATCTCTAGTAAGATTTCTAGTAAGAAACCAGTTATCTTCTGTTTAAAATATGTTCAGTAAGTATGAAATAAAATAACTTTATAGGCACATTTCTAATGTGAATAATAATTGGTTTTTGTTTGTTTTATTGAGGCACAGGTATCTGTGCCTGGCTGTCTTCTAAAAATTTTAATTGTATTAACTCATTTAATCCTCATAACACTCTTATGAACAAGGTATTATTATTATCCCCATTTTACTGCTAAGGACTTTGAAGCGTAAGAAGCTTAAGAACCTTGCCCAGGGTAATAATGAGTTACCCAGTGGTGGAGTTCAGATTCTGACTTAGAATAAGTCTAGTCTCAGAGAAATGCTTATAACCATATATGCTTTATACATGCCTCTCAGAAGGCTTTGGGTTCCATGAATTGCTACCAGGAGCTTTATGTATTTTGTGAATATACGTATATATTGAGGCCCAGTTAAATAAATGAAGATTGCCAACAAGATTTAATTTGAAATAGTGTTTATTTTCATGAATTATGAGATCAGAGAATAGGATAATTTTATTTTTTCCTCAAATTTTTTATTTTTTTAATTAAGTTCAATTAATTAACATATAATGTATTATTGGTTTCAGAGGTAGAGGTCAGTGATTCATCAGTCTTATATAATACCCAGTGCTCATTACATCACATGCCCTCCCCAGTGTCCATCACCCAGTCACCCCACCCTTCAACTCCCTCCCCTCCAGCAACCCTGTTTGTTACCTATGATAAGAGTCTCTTATGGTTTGTCTCCCTCTCTGATTTCCTCTTGTTTAATTTTTCCCTCCCTTCCCCTGTGATCCTCTGTTTTGTTTCTTAAATTCCACATACAAGTGAGATCATATGATAAGTGTGGCATAATGGAAAAAGTTAATTTTACAACTCTTGTTAAAGACTGTGTTATAGATGAACTGCAGGGAACCAAGGCATATGGCTGCCTTAGTTTCTCCTACCAGTAGCATCCATTAATCATGATTTTGAAGATGGAGAAAATTCGTTGTTGAACAGACAGATATAACATAGCTGTAATAGATAAAACAAAACTGGCCTGGAAGCTCTCGAAACTATCTTAATAAAACTCTTATATCATTTGGGGGCTCCCATGAACCGTATCAGAGGAAGAAATGGCATTCTCAATCCCAAATTTGGAGATTAGAGAATAAAACTGTCCACTAGACACCCGCTGTATTCTCTCAGAGATCCTCAGAAGCTTAAATTAAACCAGAAAGAATGCACTTCATGTGTTACAGTCTCCAAGATAAACTGGTAAATGAAAATAACCTGATTTTGCCTGATGCAAAAGCTAGTGAAATAAATAGAAGTACTAAATAAAATATATGTTATGTTCGATTTTATATCCATAAATATTTCTGGAAGAAACCAATAACTGTGCTATACCCGTTGTGGGGAGAAAGGTTAGCAACTAGGTAGATGAACAGAAGTGAGAGGAAGAATTTGATCTTGAACCTCTTTATAGTTCTTTATTTAATCTTTGAATCATATGAATTTATTACCTGTTCAAAAATTGAGTAAAATCGACAAAAATGAAAAAAATTCTGAAGGAGTAAAAGTGGAAATGTTTATTTCTCTCATGTTTTAGTTTTTTTTAAATTAAAAACACTTTTTTCAGCCTTGTTGTAGTATAATTAATTGACAAAATTGTTAAGATACTTGAAGTATACAATGGGATGATTATATGTATATCTATCTATCTATCTATCTATATATATATAGAAAGGAAACCCCCCCATTGAGTTAATTAGTACATCCATCACCTCACATATTTACCTTTTTTTTTTCCCCCTTGGTGAAAACATTTAAGTTATGTCAGCAAATTTCAATTATATAATACAGTCTTATCAGTGTTGGTGTCCATCAACAAATGACTGGATCAAGAAAATGTGGTGTGTATATATATAGTGGAGTTTCATCCAGCCTTGGAAAAGAAGAAAATCCTATCATTTGTGACAACATGGATGAACCTGGAAAGCATTATGCTAAATGAAATAAACCAGACAGAAAAAGACAAATACTGCAGGGTATCACTTATATGTGGAACAAAAAAAAAAAAAAACCAAACTCATAAAACAGTAGAAAAGTGGCTGCCAGGGGCTGTGAGTGTTGGAAATCACAAGTGTTTGGAAAAAGGGTACAGTATAATATGTAACATAATATGTAACATATTTTTTAGTTTTCCACAGGGGGAAATGGAGGCTTCCATTTTCCCCCCTTCCAGTTCAGGGGGCTTATGTAGGTGCTATTTCCTTTACCATATTGCAGCTTCGTCGACATCCTCGTAACATAGAGGAGGAGACCAAATATATTGAGCTGATGATTGTCAACGATCATCTAATGGTAGGATGTGCTAAATTTTTTGTCGTTTGAACTTGTGTGTGCCAAGGGGTAAAACTGGTGGATGCAGAAATATGTTTAGAAGAAACAAGAAACCCAGAAAATTGTAACTTGGAAAAGACATTTGTGTATGTAGCCAAATGTATTTTGTTAGCCAGTAACAACCTTTAAATTGGAAACATTGTTAGGTAGAAGTAACTAGCAGTATTTTGTGACATTCCAGAAATATTTCTTTGATTTAGAGTTAGTCAGCCCTTTGGATTTGCTTAATGAATATTTGTATTTTGAAGAAATCAGTGAGGCACCAGTAATGGGACACTTTAGTTTGCAGCATACAACTTATGCTGATAAAAGAAAAGCAGTTTTTCAATTTCTGGCCTGCTATGCAACAAACCATATGGAAATGTTTATATATAGGCAAGCAGTGAAGATTTTAGGATAGGAATCTGGCAAAACTTCCTTCTTGCTGAGTCATTTATTTTGACCCAGAGTGTGTATATTCAGTGCACGGGCATGTTGCAGGAAGTAGCTTACATTTACAGCACAGCAGTGAGTTATAATGTTAATTGCTCTGTGTAACCAGAGTTTTAAACTAAACATGTTCCGTGATGCACATTGCTGAATTTTACTTAATTTCAGGGATAAGTGCGTTTTAATTTACTTTGAGTGATTTATTTGGGGGAAAATGTGTCATTTGTTTGCATATGATTAAACAAACATTGATCACCTATTGTTGCCAATAATAATAATAATAATAATAATAAAATCCAGATTGAGTTCTTCTTTGTTCAGGCTAGAACTAAGTTTTATCTTTCTAACCTCTTGGAAGTCAGTGAATGTTACTGTTTCCTGAGATTTTTACATGATCAGAATAAGTTGTAAGAACATATTATTTTGACTTTTTAAGATAGCGCACATTCAGATACCTGCAGAGATCTGTAGGCAGGTAACACAAATGAAGTAAGCCAGATGTAAAACAATAGGGAGGGGGTGAGGCCTGTGGCAAAAGAAAAGATAGGGCCTGTCTAATGGGAGTGGCTGCCTCTCAGTACTTGCTAGTTATCACCATCAGGGATGCTAATTTTAAGGGAAGCCAGAAATCAGGTTTTACATGCTATTTCGTGATGATATTTCATACTATTCACATACACTTTTTCTGGCTATCCACCTTACTTATATTTGTATGTCTTGCAATTCATAGACAACTTTCATATGTTTTTATCATTTTGAATAACAATTCTGTGTTAAAAATAAACTTGTGAAATGGATGGAATAGGTATTTTTTACTTCCTCTGGCAGTTAAGTAAACTGAGGCCTCAGATTCTTAAGAACCTTTCCTCAGACTACACAGCATATAAAGAACTAGTTCTCAGCTCTTATAATTATTTTACAGAAAGCCATAGAGATATTTCAGGTACACTATGTTTTCTCTGCTGAGGTGATTATTTGGAAGCCCTTCACTTGTTTTGTTTTGTTTCGCTTTCAGTTTAAAAAACATCGGCTTTCAGTTGTACATACCAATACATATGCGAAATCTGTGGTGAACATGGCGGATTTAGTAAGTATCAATCGATTCAATATTGCCATAGAGGAATTTCATCTCCTGATTGCTAACAGAATGGATAATATGGTTCTTATATTTTCGGTACTCGGAATTGCACTTTAGGCAAGGTATCCCATATGTAAGTCCCTAGTAACCTTGCAGTGGACTTTATTGTTTTTGATCTCTGGCTGGGAAGATGATAAAAGGAGGTGGTCAAAGTTACCCATGGATTGATGCTTGAAATTTCTCCTTATATTTTTCACACTGAAAAATAAAAAGTTGAGTCCCAGTCCTTAACGAAGATATTCATTGTGTACTTCCAACATTGGAGAAGCAGGTGGTTGAGCTATTTTCAAGAGAGTGCCTGGTTGTGTGTGAATGATGCACTAGTAATCCTACTGTATTTACTTTCTGCCTGACAAGGCAATGTGGGTACCTTCTCCATGAGTTTAATTGGGACCCGTCGGGTTTGTAGAAATTATATCCTAGGGGGGTCTTCGCTGTTCCATTCTTCTCTTGGGAAACCCAAGAATGCGTGAATTCTTTCTCCAGGGTGCCAGAAAAGAGACTCAGGGAGGTCCTTGAAAAAGGGTGCAAAAAAGTGATCTTTTATTTCTAATTAGTCCTCTGTTCTTTGGGTCTTAGTTGTGAACAGTTTGACTCTCTGTTACTCAAGGAAAATGCATGTGAATTAGAAAAATAATTCTCTCCCTTAAAGACAATAGAGTTTTTTACATTTAACTAGAACTCAAAGAGTTTTCATAAGAGGAGCTTTATAATCCTGGTCATAAATCATTTGATTTTACCACAATAGCTAGTGTATTCCTTTTGTTAATATACCAGATATATAAAGACCAACTGAAGACAAGGATAGTATTGGTTGCTATGGAAACCTGGGCAGCTGACAACAAGTTCGCCATATCTGAAAATCCATTGATCACTCTACGTGAGTTTATGAAATACAGGAGGGATTTTATCAAAGAGAAGAGTGATGCAGTTCACCTTTTTTCGTATGTAACTTACAATTTATTACTTTTTTTGGTTCCCTGTTGAATGCTGTATTACTTGTAACTGAGATGTAGCCTTTCTCCAGTATAATGCAATTAGGATTTGACATGGCAGACACATTTGGAAGAAGTTTTAAAGTATAGATTGTCTGAAGTTGTCATTAAAGTATAAGAGGTTTAGTTTTGAATTTGAATATATATTTGAGTTTGAATATATAGCAAACTATCTATTATAGCATTTAAAAAACCTATTATGTAAAGGAAGATCTGTTGAAGGAAATTATAAATGGAAGTAAAAGAGTATATTTTTGGGTAACTTTTACATTTTACACAATTTCAAATTTATAGAAACTTTGCAGGAATACTACAAGGAAATATATGCTCTTTACCCAGATTCATTAATTATTTACATTTTGCCCCATTTGTTTATGATTTTCTTCCTTCTTTCCTTCTTCCCTTTTTCCCTCCCTCCCTTCCTTTTTCCTTTCATCCATTTATCTGTCTATCAATTTTTTTTTTCCTGAACCATTTGAGAGCAAGTTGGAGATACTCACTTACTGGGCATTCACTACTAAATACATGTATATTCCCTAAAGATAAAAAGACATTGTCTTATATCACCGTAGTAAATTATTGAATTTTTATTAATTAAAATTTTGTTGAATTTATTAAATTTTATTAAAATTTTTATTAAATTAAATTATTAAAACTAGAAAATTTAACAGTGATACAATACTTTTAAGTAACCTATATTCAGGCTTCTCCAATTGTCTGAACAATGTCTTTGATAGCTAATTCCCTTCCCCCATTGAGGACCCAACACAAGGTCATGCATCACATTTAATTGTCCTGTCTCTTTAGTCTCCTTTAATTTGGGAGATTTCCTCAGCCTTTCATTGTTTATTTTGGGTTTAACATTTTTGAAGAGTGTAGGTCAGTTATTTTATAGAATGTTCCACATTGTGGGGATGTCTGATGTTTTCCCATTGAGAGATTCAAGTTAGACATTTTGGTCAGAAATACCACAGAAGTGATTTTGTATCCTCCTCAGAGTACACCATATTAGTGATTTTTTCAAAACAGGTATAGTTCTGTTGAAGGTATTATTGCTCATGTGGGGAAACATCCCTCAGAAACTCTTCTCTTTGGTTATGTGTGTAAATAACATTCACATTCCTCCCTTCCCTCAGAAGTATACAGTCTGGGAATGTATTTGCATTGAGAACGTAAGTGTGGTAAATTAATAATGAAAGGTGCAGTGATACTTGGAACTTTGAACAGTAAGCATTTTTCGTTTCCTTTTCTAAAAGGGGAAGTCAATTTGAGAGTAGCCGGAGCGGGGCAGCTTATATTGGTGGGATTTGCTCGTTGCTGAAAGGAGGAGGCGTGAATGAAGTAGGTGTGAACATCTGTACAATACAAAGTGGTATGATGGCTGAAAATGTTTTCCTAATATTTAAGAGATAATTTCTCATATTCCTCATTCTCTAGATGTTAGGTTGTTTTATTCACAACCAATATGGTTGCTATAAATGACCGGAGGACAGAGAATAGGAAAATAATGGAAGATAGTATTTGATAATTCTGTTCATATTCTACTTAGAATAATCTCCAAATTTAGCTATTTACAAATTATATAGATAAAATCTTTACTTTTATCCTTATTGAAAATAAGGCCCTATCTATGCTTTGGCTGATTTCCTGGAGAACTGAGTAATTCTTGAAGCATTGGCTGACTACCTAACAACCCAATTGGAAATATTCTTCCTTCTTCAATATTTGGCAAAGTTTGGGAGAAAAAAATAGACTAAGTTTTCCAAAGAGTTTCTTTTACCCCTAAGGCACTAAGTCTGATGGAAGTGATCTAAAAGAAAAATACTTGAATCAACATATTGAAAAAAGTATCTTTAGGTCTCAAGTTTCTTTTGCCCACAGATCATTACCACTTCCTGTTACTCATACCATTTGTTTTCTGAAGCCACATTCTATTTAATTTGGGGAAATTTTGGGCATGCAAATGGACACACAAAAATGAACAAGTTCCAAATAATTTACACATTTACTTTTATTATTTTCTAAAAGACTGACTTATGTATATTACAAGTATTAAGTTTTTCAGAAATGTCACTAGTGAAATTTGGACTCAGACTTAATTTTCTAAACCCGAAAAGTGGTGATTCCCTGGCTTCTAGTCTTCCCTATAAGATTGAATCAAACATAGGTTTATTTCTTACAACTTTTTTCTCAAATGCTCCATCGTTCAGCTTTAGCTACTGTATGTTTAACCTCTACTAAATAAGAGGCTTAGAAATTACGTATTTCCAACTATGTTGTGTCATTTTTCTCTGGCCCATCTTAAATAAAAAATAATTCCCATTTACACGTATTTTGTTTTTGCTCTTGTTTTTCAGTTTGGGAAAACTGATTTAATGGCAGTTACACTCGCCCAGTCGTTAGCCCATAATATTGGTATTATCTCAGACAAAAGAAAGTTAGCAAGTGGTAAGTTCACCTTTGTGGTTTAGTTGTATTTAAAATAGACTCTCTATAAATATTTTGGAGAATGAGATTTTAAATTCAGTTGCTTAATCAAACGAGTTTGGGTGATGGTATAAGTTAAACAGCTGGGGTATATAATATTTTCTTCAAAAGTTATACAAGATAATGTTTGCCCTGTAGGTGAAAATGTCTCCATGTGTAATTAACATTTAAAGCTATGTGATGATAAATTCATTGTTGAATTTAAAAAAGGACAAAATAAGCTCTGTTTGGTAATTTTAAATGGTCTCGTAGAGAATCCTAGGCGTGTAGGTTCAAGGCATACTGTTTTATTATGGTTTATTTAAAACATCTCTTAGTATGGCCACAGAGGAGAGTTTGCCTGCTAAAGGGCTCAGTAAAATATGGACCTGGTAAACTATGCTGGGACTAGCATCTAGGAAGAATATATTTTCCCAAGTAGGTAAAGTTAATTCACCAGGAATAGTCAAAAGTCATGTATTTGGAGTAAGTTGATTAGAATCATATTTATCTTATTATTTAATAACATATAAATGATTGTTTATATTAATAATAACTATTACCATTTATGAAGTGCCCATTAAAAGACAGATAATTGAATGCCAGTATTATCTACTTCTAGATACTCATTTAATCCTCAAGATAATCCTGCAAGATACCCATTATTAGCCCCATTTTACAGAATAAGGTGACTGGATGTTAAAAGGGTAATGCCTCCAAGATTACTCATATATTAAGTGGCAAGCCCAGGTTTTGAACCCAGGTAGTTTAAGCCTACCTTCCTGCACCTTCCTTGGTGCAGAGGTTTTAAAACTGGACAAGAAATTGTAAGAATTCCCATAAGGGACTGTGAAACCAGAATCCTATAGTGATGCTATTTCACTGGTATTAGATTGTTAAGCCATTTTAAAGCATTTTAAATGAATGCTTTAAAAATAAGGCCACTTGTTAAAATATCAAGGTTTTAATTTAGTAAAAATTATAAAATCTTGATATGGTCCAAGTAGATTTTTGTTATTATGAATTGCATGCAAAACTTCAAATATAAGGAAACTTAGAAAGCAGGTATTACTTCTTAAAGGTATTTAAGGAATAAAGTGAAGATATACTTTTAAAAACTAATGCACCTGTTTTCACTTCATAAAAAGGCATTTGTATTCATTTTCTCTTAGGTGAGTGTAAATGTGAGGACACATGGTCTGGATGCATAATGGGAGACACTGGGTAAGCCACTTCTATTTGAAAATAACTCACTTCCTTTCTCTGCTGTGCTGTGGGCTCCTTAGGAATATGACACCAACAGCTTAGTGTGTGGAACCTCACCATCGACATTAAAAAGAAAATTGGATGTAGAGCTTCTCAATGGCTCTCTATTATAAGATATTTTCATAAAATAGTCTCTTATTTATGAAAACAGTTGTTGTCAGTTAAGATAGAAGAGCAAAGACTTTGTTAGCCTTTCATCTAGGCTAGAAATGTAAGTGAGGAACAGCTTTGTTCTTCATGGCTTACCTACTAATTTTCTTTTCTTTTGTCTTCAATTCCAATTAAATGGGTTGTAAACAGTAGTGTGCTGGTAAGCTGATTCTCAGAATAAAAAACAAGAAAAGAACCTGGATTTGTAGCTTTCTCTGATTTTTGTAGTGTAAGTATTCCTAAAATGGCTGATTTCAAGCTGCCAGAGTGTGGAAGAGATGTGTATACTCTGCTCTCCTGAGACAGGTTTTCATTTCTCTACCCTTCGACACACTGTCAGGCACTAATCTTGTATTTATTTTTTCTTAGTAAATTGTACAACCATTCCTTTCATGCCAAGATCATCACTACTCCTTACTTTCAACTTTTATCATCTTGAGCTTTTATTATCTTAATAACATTCCAGATACCCAGGCAAATTTCAGCCTCCCTCTCTCCCCTCCTGAATTCCATTTCCGTCCTCACTGAAAAGGCATAAAGAGAAGAGTGAACCCTTGTATTCCATCACCCGGCCTAAAAAAATACTTCCTACATAGTTAAATCCCCCTTCTGTTCTCTCTTGTTGCTCCCCAACCCCAGCCAAAGTCACTACTGTCTTCAATTTGGTTCATATTATTCACAAGCCCCTTTTAATACTTTTATTGTTTATATGTGTATGTTGAAGTAATACATAGCATTGCTTTGCATGTTTTTAGTTTATATGAAAGGAGTCATACTATATGGACTCTTCTGTGATTTGCTCTTTTTGATCTTTATAAGATTTATCCATGCTGATAATATACAGTTCTAGTTCATTGAATGTATAAGGCACAAATTCCTCCATTCTCCTCTTCCTGCACATGAATCATAGCATTTTCCTGCTCAGAACTTTTGTTGAGTCTCTGTTGTCTGAAGAATAAGGTTTAGAGTTCTTCCTCCCATACTTGGATATACATAATCTTTCTTCATCCTCATTTATAACCTCATTTTCCCCTGCTATTCATGGTTGGTTTGCTTATTATGATAGTTATACAGGGGTTTCCAGCTTTTTTGATCTTCTAACCATAATCCTACATGGATTTTTTTTTAAAGATTATTTATTTATTTATTTATTTATTTATTAGAGACAGAGAGAGGCAGAGGCAGAGGGAGAAGCAGGCTCCCTGCAGAGCAGGGAGCCCGATGTGGGACTCGATCCCAGGACCCTGGGATCATGACCTGAGCCGAAGGCAGCCGCTTAATTGACTGAGCCACCCAGGTGTCCCTCCTACATGGATTTTAAGCTTCTTAAAAATTTGCTCACCATAAATGTACATTAATTTCCAGCCTCTTTTGATTCCTTTGATATATTCTTTTCATTTGGAATTCTTTCTCTCTAACCACATTTCTAGCCATTTGAGATTTATTATAATTTTAACTCCTGCATTGTAATTTAATTCCGTATGTCCTTATGCTTTGCCTCACCAATTAGTTGTGAATCTTTGAGGATTACATCTACACTAATAGGTATTTCTGTTTGACCTCACACCATAATCTCTTGACACACTTGATTTTCAATAAATATTTATTGATATTTTCATTTTGAGCTCCCAAGAAATGTTTGAAAAGGAAGATAAATGATAGAGGGAATGTATATGCAAACATGTATTAAAATATTTTTCAAAATATCTTTGGACTTTCTGTTTAGTAATAAAAGGGAATGATAAAAGTCCTTATCCATAATTGTAATTTTACAACACTTACTAAATTCCACGCTAGAGGTTCTGTCTTTTAAAAGCTATTTAGTATGGTTGATTATTCTGCTTAATTACTAAAAACAAAATTTTATAGGCAGTCTGCCTAGACTAAGCATAATGTGTAGCAAAATCAAATGGCAACACTCAGAAACGTACATAGCTCTTTGCATTAGAACTCCTCTTACATCAAATGGATGTGTGCAAGAGAAAAGCTTTTTAAAGAAAACGTCTGGCGTGATGCTCTATATGATTTGAGCTGTGTCAGACATCACACAACAGTACTAATTATGGACCTGTATTTCCTGTGGGCACCTCCCCTCTCGTTTCTACTTTCTGAAGTCTCCGCGCACTGCTGCGTGTTGGAAAGCATGTTGAAATGAAAATCAGTCCTACTTAAAGGTATAAAAATTAAAATTTTGAGAAAGCATTGAATATAATAGATATGTTATTGATAATTCCATGGTATTCTATTTTATTAATGTATCAACAGTTAACAGTTTTCTTCTAAACATTTACCTGATTTTCATGGCATTTGCTATTACAGATTGTGCTACTCTAAGTTCCTTTGTTCATTCATCTTTGTATACATAGCTAGTTATTTCCTCAAGAAAAATTTCTTAAAGTAGAATTACTAGATTTAAGGATATTTCTCATTTTGAAGGTTCTTCATACATATTGCCAAATTGTTCTCTAGCCACATTTCTTTTTCTCTTTCTTTTTTTTAAAGATTTTATTTATTTGAGAGAGAGAATGAGAGAGAGCACAAGAGGGAAGAGGGTCAGAGAGAGAGGCAGACTCTCTGCTGAGCAGGGAGCCCGATGTGGGACTCGATCCCGGGACTCCAGGATCATGACCTGAGCCGAAGGCAGTCGCTTAACCAACTGAGCCACCCAGGCACCCACCACATTTCTTTTTCTTCTGATCCTTTTATACTTTTTTTTTTTGGTATACCTTTTTTTTTTTTTTTTTTTATTTTGACATAATCTTATAAGAAAAGTTGCAGGAATAGTAACAAAGAACCTTTTTGTCCTCTGAATCATAAGTCACTAGCATTGTACCTCATCACCCCCAAACACCTCAGTGTGCATTGCCTACAAACAAGTGCATTCTCCTACAGAACCACAATGCAACCAATAAAATTATCTAATTTTTAGCCCTCACTCAAAATTAGCCCTGTATTTCAAAAAATGCCACTTTAACAGATGGTTCAGAATCAATCTTATCTTCCTTCAGTCTGAAACAGTTCCTCAGTTTTCTTTGACTTTCATGACTTTGGCACATTCATAGATTATAAGTCAGTAATTTTATAAAATCTTCTGCAGTTTGGGATCCAGTTTTTATATTTAAGAAAGACTCATTATTCCTGTTCTTTGATTGAAAATATAGGTATGTGTGTGTTTCTTTTGAATGCATATGCTAATAATGAACAGCCCATAGTCGCTATTAATCACCAAATGGAGAATTTAGAAATATGCTGGTAGAATCAAAGTCTTAGGGCTTTAACACAAATGCTGTACATATGTGGAATTTATTCTTTCATTTTTAAGAATAATGTTACAATTTTAACAATGTTCAAGTTTAAGACTAACATACAGACAAGGGGGACTAAAATTATATCCAGTTACTGCTTTTCTTCTGCCTTACAGGTATTATCTTCCTAAAAAGTTCACCCAGTGTAATATTGAAGAGTATCATGACTTTCTGAATAGTGGAGGTGGTGCCTGTCTTTTCAACAAACCTTCTAAGGTACTAAGTGTGATCAGAGTTATTAGTTATTAATCTTTCTAGGGTATTATTAAGTGTAAATTTCTAACCATTGGATCTTACAAAAAGAAAGTTTTCCAACTTGGCTTTTATGTCCATATGTTAGATATGCAAAATATCTGCATTCTGAAGTCAGCTTTAATCTTTGGTATTTTGGGCTATTCTTTTTTTTTTTTTTAAGATTTATTTATTTGAGAGAGAGAGAGCTTGTGTGTGAGTTGGGGGAGGGGCAGAGAGGGAGGGAGAGAGAATCTCAAGCAGACTCCATGCTAAGCACAGAGCTCAACAGGGGAATTGACACAGGGCTCTATCCCGAGTCACCCAAGCACCCTGACGTTTTGGGCTATTGTGATGGAAATAGAAAGCAGGTAGAAATAAGACTGTGTGCTTTCTGAAAAATGATTAGTTTGCAAAGATGGTTTCATTTGCTTTTCTTTTTCTTTTCTTTTTTTTTTTTAAAGATTTTCTTTATTTATTTGACAGAGAGAGACACAGCAAGAGCAGGAACACAAGCAGGGGGAGTGGGAGAGGGAGAAGCAGGCTTCCTGCTGGGCAGGGAGCCCGATGTGGGACTCGATCCCAGGACCCTGGGATCATGACCTGAGCCCAAGGCAGACGCTTAACGACTGAGCCACCCAGGCACCCTCATTTGCCTTTCTTTTTCATTTTCTTGGTTCCTTTTTGTTTGTTTGTATATGTAATCACAGCTCATACTGATAGAAAGGGGGCATTTCTCCCCCTCATAACTCCCTGTCAGTGCTGCCTTTCAGAATGAGTAGTATGATTAAAATTGCTATTACTTCTCAGTATGAAAGCCAAGGCTGCAAAGGAGAAAGTCTTTGTGTACTTAGACTTTGTCAGAGGCCTTTCCAACTTGCAGAACAAACTCTGGTTACTGACTTGAAAGCAGGTCTTCCTCATGCATTTGGAAGTCGGCATGTTAAAGCAGAATTCTTGGTTCTTGTTAATTATGTGAACTGTTATGTTCTTCTTCTCACCACAGTGATGTCTGGTGTTGCCTTTATCATCATTTACCTGACTTCATTCCCTGTCTATTCCAGTGAAATTTAGAAAGTGTATCATATTGCTTTGAAAAGCAAAGTGACCATTTTAAAGACTCTTCGCAAAAGTTTCAGAAGGGACATTTGAACTAATTCCCTGCTGCTATAAATGAAAAACAATTCAAGTCTTTTTACAAAAATAACTGATTTTTCTGAGCTCAGAGTAAAATGATAAGTGGATTTTTCATCTGGATAAGTTTTAGTTTTGGCTTTCAAAGCTGTCTCATTTGTTATGATCCCTTTCAGCTGAAAATAGAATCTAGAGATGTGTTGATTATTTTGTAGGAGAGGAGAGAATATTTGGAATCAGGTGGGGATTTTGTTGTTGTCATTGCTGCTGCTTTTTTTATTGGTTTTTTCCCCCCCTCTAGTTAGTTAAGAAAGTGTGTGTGTGGGCATGTGTCTGTTGATAGGTGTGTGTTCCATCCCATTCTATAATATGTAAACTTTGACGAACTTCTAATTGAATATTACATAACTGGGACATAACAGCTACTTGGTAATTTTACCTATCACCGTAAGATAAGTTATGCTCAAAAGATAATGAAATTGATGGAGAGTTGAAAAATACAATAGTCTTAAAATGTACTCTTGTACATGCTAAAAGTTACTTCCATCTCTGGGGCCAGTTATTATTACTGCGTTCTGCAAAGCTATGTTAATTGGAGAGGCTATATTTTATATTAAATAAATCAGTGGATTTATTAAGTTTTGTGATGTTTTCCTAATTGTCTATAAAATAACTTCCTATTTCACAAGGATATATAGTTAGTAAATGGCTCTCACAGATGATTGAACTTGATCCTCCCAACAATTTTTGATGTAGATGGGCAGATAATATTATTATTATTCCTGCTTTAAATATTAAAGCACTTGTGCTCTGAGATGACAAGCCGTATGCCCAAGATAAAGTAGCTGAGCCAAGATTTGAACCCATACTTTCTGTCTCCAAATCCCTTGCTTCCTGCTTGAAATGAAATTTCAGGAATCAGTCTGGCTTGGGTTCAGTCAATGGCTAGGTCTTTTATTTCGGTGGCATTTACTGGAATCCATATGCATATTACATATGTAAATTTGAATTTCCAATCTGAAATGGAAACAGAAGTAGATACTTCTGTTCTCAAGTTTCCAGTTCTAAAGTTCTAGAGTTACGCTTTCAAGTTTAGGAAAATAAAAATATACTTGGAAATGACCGAAAGGTATACCAGATGTATGGTTGTGGTACTTATGGTCTCTCATAAGGTCTTTGATCTTGATTTATCCACATTTTATCCTTTTGGTTTCATCCCACAGCTTCTTGATCCTCCTGAGTGTGGAAATGGCTTCATCGAAACTGGAGAGGAGTGTGACTGTGGGACCCCGGCAGTAAGTCTCTGGGTGTTTTGATGATTTATTTTTTTTTATTTTTTTTTTTTTTTAGGTTATCCAGGGTCATTCCAGGTCCACTCACTGAGACAAACAGAGCTGGTGTTATGTTTGGAAATTTCATGGGATATATGGAAGAAAGATTATTATTGTGGGGTTATACATTTATTTAAAAAAAATATCCTGGTACTTTTAGAAAATGACACCATTTTCTGATGTTTTGAAAATCTTTGTATTCCTTAGGAGTGTGTCCTTGAAGGAGCAGAATGTTGTAAGAAATGCACCTTGACTCAAGATTCTCAGTGCAGTGATGGTCTTTGTTGTAAAAAGTGCAAGGTAAATAAATGTTGAGTAATGACTAATTGACAGAGACGAGGACATATTTGATTAAATCATTAAGGTTAGGCAAATATGATGTAATAACAAAAGTAGTGCCTATCATATATTAAGTGACTATGTTGCCAGGTTCTCTATAGGATCCTCATAAAATCTTGTGAAGTTTTGTTACTATTTTTATTCCTATCGAACAGTTGAGAACACTAAGGCATACAGTGGGTAAATGGTTGCCCAGGGTCTTGTACCAAGTAAGTCAGAGAGCTGGGTCCTGGACCTTGTTAAATTCCCCAGTTTGTCTTCTCATTACTGCTTACCTGAGGAACATGCACATTAACTGAAGCCAGGTGTTCCTAACCTTCAAATGAGGTTTTCCCTTTCTTTGTAAAGCCAAGTGGATATTCAAGAGATTCTTCTTTTCTTGCTGCTCTGCTTGGTGTATTTCTTGCATAAGTATAGGAGAAGCTATACTTTTATTTTATTTTATTTTATTTTATTTTATTATTTTATTTTAAAGATTTTATTTATTTATTTGACAGAGAGAGACACAGCAAGAGAGGGAACACAAGCAGGGGGAGTGGGAGAGAGAGAAGCAGGCTTCCTGCCAAGCAGGGAGCCCGATGCGGGGCTCAATCCCAGGATCCTGGGATCATGACCTGAGCCGAAGGCAGATGCCCAACGACTGAGCCACCCAGGCGCCCCAGAAGCTATACTTTTAGACATGATAACATCTTACGTGTATTACCATGCGTGAGATTTTAGAATGCATCTTTAGGCACATTGTTTTCATCCTCCCAATAGCATCCCATACCTGTCCCCAGATATTTAAGCCTTAACATCATGACTAAAAGTTATTTGAGGCTTACATTTTTCAAAGAAATCTATTTCTTTTTCTCTTCTCATAAAATCTGGTACAATATTCTACATTAGTTGCTGTGAGGTTTAGTATTCACCTTAGTATGTACATTTTATGGAGTCAGTGTCTGGGACTTACCCAGTAATTGGTACAGGTCCTTAGTAAATATTTGTTAAGTGGATAAATAAATATGCACAACACTCTTTTATTGATTATTTGCTGATCGACTAACTTGAGTCTAATGAGCTAAGGGAGAGTGGGACATGAATCTATCATAGTAAATATCTACTGAGTGCCAGAGATTGTGCTAAGCACTTTTAATTTATATCATCATGTATCTGGGTTTCTCCGTCCTGGCACTGTTGACATTTTTGGCTGGATGATTGTTTTGTTTTGAGGGTATGTCTTGTGTATTTTAAGTTATTTAGCAAATCCTTGACTTCTACCCACTTGATACAAGCACAACTCCTCCCACTTGTGACAACCAAAAATATTTCCAGACATTGCCCAGTGTCCCCTCAGGGGCAAAATCACTGCTGGTTGAGACCACTGTCATAGATAAAGCTCACAACCACACTTTTGGTTTTGAAAATGCGTTATTTTGGGATAGGCGTTATTACCCTTATTTTTCCATTTGAGCAATCCTGGTCTCAAGGAAGTGATACAACCTGCATATGCTCGTCCAGCTATTAAGGAATAGATGTGAAATTACATCCCAGATCTGCTGGCAGCAATTTCTGTTGTTTCTACTTTACCACTATGCCTCTGGCAGCTTAAGACAAGCAAGGCACTGGCAGAGACCTCTGAAAGCACTCTCTAAAAAAAGGAGGATTAAATCAAATACAAAACAGACATTTTAAGTTTTGGGTTGCATCATATATTTATTTATTTATTTATTTTTAAAGATTTTCTTTGTTTGACAGAGAGGGAACACAAGCAGGGGGAGTGGGAGAGGGAGAAGCAGGCTTCCCGCTGAGCAGGGAGCCCGATGCGGGGCTCGATCCCAGGACCCTGGATCATGACCCGAGCTGAAGGCAGACACTTAATGACTGAGCCACCCAGGTGCCCCTGCATCATCTATTTAGTCTGTCAGCTTCTCCACCTGCATAAAAAGGGTCCCTTTGTGATATGAACATGAACATTTCAAAGAACAAATACAAAATAATAGAATTACAATATATACAGGAAAATGTCATGATTTTAACTATCTTACAAAATAAGCTGCAGCTCTACCAGTCAAGTAAGAGCTTTTTGCCACTTTTTCTGTCTCTCGCCCCCAGTTCTTACGCCCATCCTAGACCCCTGGAGGAACCAGAGGCAGGAGAGTGAATGAATGGAGGGGGAATAGAAAAACAGGATGAGAAATCCTACGTATCTCTGTTTTTTCCTATGTGTATTTATGCTTAAAGCATCTGTGAGTCAGAGTTGGCAAACATTTTGGGTAAAGGATCAGGTAGTAAATAGTTTAGGCTTTGTGGGTCATGAGGTCTCTGTCTCAGTTACTGAACTCTGCCTTTGAAAGCAGCCATCAAAAATACAGAAACAAATGAGCATGCTTGTGTTCCAGTAAAACTTTATTTATAAAAACAGATGGCCAGCCACTTTTTGCCCTCAAGCCATAATTTGCCAACCCTTGCTGTAAAACATTGCTCATTGACTTGTTTATTATTTTTGTTCACGCTTTAGTACCTAAGTTCCAAGAGGGCAGGGATTTGGGTCAGTTTATCTACTGCTGTATCCCAGCACTGAGAGCAAGTCATCCTTCACTATGCTTTCTTTCAGAAGTTTCTTGGCACTTCTTGAACATTTACACTCTCATATAAACTCCATCTTAAATCTGCTTATATTTCTACCTCAGACTTTCTAAAATTGTAGTTCACCCCAATTCCAAGAAGTTGGAAGGAAGAGAACCAGAGTATATGAATTTAAATTATCTTGCTTATTTCCTTATTTTCATGGTCTATTTACCCCACTAAAATGTGAGTTCCTTGCAAACAGGGTTCTTGTGTTTTATTCTCCACTGAGTCCCCAGTGGCCAGAAAGTGCCCGGCACATTTTAAGTGCCTAATAAATACTTGATGAATGAATGAACACAAATTTTTTTCGGATCTCTTAAAAATATCTGTTGAAATCCCGATTGGAGTTGGCAGTGTGTGCTGTTCATGTTCTCAGAACAGTAGGAAACTCAGGTGCCTGAAGGGTTATGAGCAAGAGAGAGAAGATGAAAGGTGGTCTGGGAGAGGGGTCCTGAATAATGGGTCTGTTTGTGTGAGCAGACATAAAAACATGGAAGGATCCAGACCCTGATAATAGTATTTTGGGGAATGAAAAAGAATGGGATTGAAGAAGAGAGGGGAAGGATTATGACTTTGTGTATCTCTGTTTGTTTGTTTATAATGAATACCCTGGCAATTTATAAATTCAGTGAGCTTAAAATTTTATTTGTAACTCCCTACACTTACAAGAAATATTTGAGGTGGTTGAAAATAGGCAAGAGAAAAAAGAAAAGAGAAAAACCCCTCCCATACACAGGTACAAATAATAGAAACATTAGACAAGAATAAAAGACCATGCCATAGATCTATATATAAAAATGAGACAGGAGATAAAGGACAGTATGGGAGGAAATCGCTTTCCCAGAAAATCTAACTTTTGCAATTCAGCCTACGATGTAACAACATTCAGAATCTTGGCAGATGAGGCAAAAGAGAGCAAAACGATGAAGATGCCAGTAAGAATGAAGAGTAAAGTGTAAATCCAAAACCTTTTTTGGGAGGAAGAATTACTAGAACTTGGACTGACTTGTCCTTCTGGGGAGATGGATCATCCAGACCTACCCTATTTTAGTAGCTATCGTAAAACTTAATGTGTGATGACTCTGCAGATTCTTTCATATAAGCAAAACTCTTGCTGAAAACTATTAAATGAACATTTCATTCAGTAATGGGGTTTTCAGAGACTGGCATCTTAAAATCGCTTGCAATATTCCTATCCAAAAATAGTCATTTTGCCTTTTTTTGAGATGATGCCACAAGAGATTTTTTTTCCCCCTTCGGCAGTTTTGCACATTGATTTTTGTTCACTTTAGTTTCAGCCCATGGGGACCGTGTGCCGAGAAGCAGTAAACGATTGCGATATTCGTGAGACGTGCTCAGGAAATTCAAGCCAGGTAATTTACAGAGTCGTTAGTCTGAACCTGACGGGAAGGAGTAGGGGTACCTATAGTGTACTGTCCCCCAGGCAAAACTTAAAGGGACACGATGTCATGTCTTTTTCACATCAGTTCTCATTCTCTATTTACTTCTCGGGGATTTCAGTTTCAGTAATCAAAGCTTGCACAGATGTGCAGCATCATTTTATCTCAATGTTGAACTAACCTCAGACTGCATGCGTGCCTCAACTATTTTGTTTCTGTTCTAAGTAGAGAATGGAAGGCATTGCTTTTTGTCCTGTTTTCTCTCCAGTTGATGGAAACAGGAGCCAGCCAAGGCAGAGAGACCCACAGAGCACTGAGTTCTGAGGAGGGGTCTATTCTTTTGCCTTGACTCTTGCTTTTCTGAGACCACCTGCTCACCTCACCCATTAATAACTGCTCTTGAATTTAATGTCATATGGTTGTGAATGGAGAAGATGAGGAAGCTGATAAACTTTGGTGAGGGTTCACAGATTTCCCATGGTCATTGTATATACAGGCCATCCTCAGTTTGCAGTGTAGTGCAGGGCCCTAACAATGACTGTGCAAGTTAAAATCGTGTAATTCATCTTAATAATCAGTGCAAAAATTACAGTTGTTCCGTGATCTTTAAAAAATATTGTCAGCCTTGGATTTAAGTGAATAGGGAAATGAAAAAATAAACATTTTTTTAGCACACTAAAAACAGAAACATTCAGAATTACAAGTTTTATTTGTTTGTAAAATCCTCATCAGGAGCAGTTTGGGCTGTGCATGCCTTCTGGCCACAAAACTTAGGATCCATAGTAAGCATCTTCTCTATGCCTTGTTGAATTGACTCCCTTCTAAGTTTGGATCAGCTTTCAACATTTTATCCTTTGCATTTTCAGTGTCATGAAATAGCTCCAGGAGATGTGAAGGTGTGAATGTGAGGTTTTTTGCCAAATAGCAGTATCAACATGCCCAGTCAGTGACTTTTTGCTGTGACTCAATTTATATTTGATTTGAATTTCACTTCTAGGGTCATCCTTTTTCATTTCTTTTCTGCATTTTCATTTTGCTGACCAGTTCCCTCTTAACAGTTATCCAGTTTTGCAAAATCTCACATGCTATTACCCAGAGACAGAGAGAGTCAACACACCTACACCTTCTGTTGTCTGTTCATGAACTGAATAAACATGGGCAGTGACCAGTCAGTCACTGGCGGACTTTGTAAGAAGTGACAAGTGCCCATGATGGGGAGCTGTTAGATACCTAGTGATCATGGAACTGAAAGGCTAGTAGCAAATGTGTGCCTTATGCAGTTGCTCATAGTTAATACACTGTGGGAGCTGAAATTGGAACTGTGTTGTTGGGGTACTGATGTCATTTCACAAAACCATGGTATCTGAAATCCATGTATATGGGAGCTATGCAGAGCAAGGACAGCCTACATGTTTTTCCTCTAGAGAAGAGGGATTCAGTAGTGGTATACCTGCATTAATCATAAAAATGTTTTGTTTTAAAGGTAGTCCTCCTAAGAGACTAGAGATCTTTCATGTAAAAGTATTTTCTTTCCTTACTATCTAATTAGCATTGTTTCTATAAGCTAACACTTAGTGATGATGAGGATACAGTGAATGACTGCCTTGTGTTCCTGGAGGGAAAGGATATTAGAGTGACTTCTTTGGAATGTGACTATACTATAAGCAGGAGTTTTAAAAAAAAATCCAGAATCCAAAGATCATGTAGAAAGATGCTTTTGTTGAATTAGTTGTAACAGCATAAACTGGAGGTAGTTAGAAGTGAGTATTATAGTACATTGGTTATATGGTTTGTTAGCTCAATGCAGTATATTATAGCTATTAAGGATGATATCTACAAAAAAGCTTATTATGACCTGAGGAAATTCACGTGATGAAAAAGTAAAGAGAAGCAGGATATAAAATATCGTCCGTAACATGATTATATACCCATATTTTAAAAAATCAAATTTTGTAGAAAAAGGTAGAGAAAAAAATATACCAAAATATAAAAAATTGTTGTCTTTGGGTGGTGGGAACATGAGAGACTTTGTCTTTTGTTTTTTGTTTGTTTGTTTTACTTTTTTAACATTCCCTAAGTTTTCTGAAGTGAGTATATAATTATTATAAAGATACAAAAAATGTATAATAAATTTAAAAATACTTTTTATTAAGAGTGCTTTGCAATTTTCTGCAATTGCTACAAGGGAAAAATGGGGCTGTAAGGCATGTTTTTTTTCTAATGTGCCCAAGGTGGACTTCTGCTCAAGAGACATTGTAAGAGTAAGGGCTGTGGTGCTTCTCATGGTAAAAAAGAGGAAACTAGTTTTGGCTCCATTTATGTTGGCATCTTCCTTGCTTTTGTTTTGTGCTCTTGTTTTTCTTGCTCTGAGGAACAGTGTATCTGTGTAAAGCAAGATGCTCTGAAATGTTAGGGTTGGCTGAGTCATAGCTGTAGGTTCTTTTTATTTGCTACAGTGTAATCAACTGTTTTTGCCTCTAGTAGATCCATATTTTTAGGGGAAAGTGCACCAATTGTTGTATTTCCTTTTGCTTCCTCCTGATCTTTTTTGTTTTTATTTTCAGATGTTTTAAGAGACTTAGCCATATTACCAGACTTTTATTTTCAAAAAGAAAAAGAAAACATTACAGGGATTAGCTCAGCTGGATATTTTGCTGTGCACTTGGTTCATAGTTCTGTTTTCATTTCCTAGTGTGCCCCAAATATTCATAAAATGGATGGATATTCATGTGATGGTATTCAGGTAGGTTACTTCATCTTTACCTAAATCTTTCATGTGTACCAGCATGAAAGAAATACTGAAATCTTACCAAATAGGAAAATCAGTTTAAATGTTTTGTAATCAATTCTGAAGATAAAAGGTTTTATAATACTCATCTACTAGTTTTCCCAGTCATATTTTCTTTTTTCAGTGATCCAACATAAGCAGACATTGCATTGTTAATAGGTATATGCTTTTCCATTTTAGGGGATTTGCTTTGGAGGAAGATGTAAAACCAGGGATAGGCAATGCAAATACATCTGGGGGCAAAGTAAGTAAATAGTGTGGCTTGATCCTTTTCAAAGTATGATATCAGGTCAAAGCACATGATGTGAGCTGGAAGTAAATTTTCAACCACTTTATGATTGAGGGATTCTCAAAGACACTGCAGGTCTTAGTAGGGGCACTTTTGTAGACATTAGAGAAAGGCACGGCCTTTGAGAAGACACTTGGCTAGTTGGTTGTGCCATTGGACAAGAAAGAAGGTGCCTTTGCTGCCAGGCAGATGAAGTCCGCTCCAGCCTGTGCAGCCTGGAGAATAGAGCAAACCCGGATTTCAGTTCCACTTACACTTCCCTCAGCTGAATGTCCTTAACCAAACCTGTACAACCATATGGGATGGGCGTGGACCCTGGATAGGATGCCCTTGGCTTAGCACTGTAGCAGGTTAGCTAGAGTTGCTTTTTCTTCCTCAACTATCTCTCTTAAAGTCTAGCTCACTTTCCTAATTACAGGTGACCCTCTGCAGAGGTAGCTATGCCACATCAGAAAAAATTTTAATGTTATTGCTCTCAAAGTTTGTCAGATTTTTGGAGGGAAGTATATAATATTTATATCTAAAACATATTTAAATTATATCTCTGCTTAAATGTGTATTTAAATATTGTGCCATATATTTTTTGAAGGCAATTTTTGCTTTAAACTCTTTCAGAAGACAGTTTGTATTAGGAAATAAGCTATAAAGATAAAGATAATCTTTAATTGTCACACATAGTGGCTACATTCTTTCTGAGAGGGCAAGTGTACGCCCTCTTCTGAGTGACTGGAGAAAGGGGGAGAATATGGAAATGCAGACTGTACTCTGAGCAAAGAGTTATAGTTTTTGTTTCCCCCACTTGAGAAAAACTGTTGCTTACAGCAAGAAGTAGGGAAAAAAATGATTATTTTTTTAAAGTGATTATTTTTTAAAAATATACACAAACAGTTATCTTTTGATTAGTTTGCAGAGGTCATTTTGATCTAACTTCTGGACAGTTCCATCAACCAGCCTTGGCTTTAGCCAAAACAAAGTCCTGAAAAAGATGCTGACATGGTTTAAAATGTTATTTCACTCTCTTAGATTTAGCGTGAATTCAAGCTTGTCTAAAAACAGAATAAAATTAAATTGTTTTTTAATAGTTGTTAAGAATTAGTAAACAAGGTAGAAATTATACTACTGCTTCTTGAATCTTTAATTATAGTGCATAGTTATTTTAATAAACTTGTCATTATGATTAATAAAAGTTGCCAAGTGAGAAATTTGTACTTTACATTTGGCACTGAGATTAAAGTGTGGAGTATTTATTCCAGGAACAATTTGGTAGCATCTTCCCCTAATTATTGGCCACATTCTGAGGAGTGTTGTTCTTAGAACCTATAGTCTCAATCCCATCAAAGATCTCCATAGATTTGTTTTCCAAATTTCCAGTGAGCAGTCATGAAGAATGTAGCTGAGTCCTGGATGTCTGTGGTAAAGGACAACTCTTGAGAACCATGGGTACAGTCTTTGGAATTGGCACCATTGTCATGAAGAAGAGTCCTTAAATGGCCACTTTCCCTTACTGCGAACACTTTGAGCAGCTCATGTGTTAAATCTCTCACCGATAGAAAATTCTTTTCTGCTTCAGAGGTGATGGCATCAGACAAATACTGCTATGAGAAGCTGAATATCGAAGGGACGGAGAAGGGGAACTGTGGGAAAGACAAAGACACGTGGATACAGTGCAACAAACGGTGAGATGGAGAAGTTTGCGCAGAGTTTATCCCTTAATTAATTGTAGGTGTTACTTTCAGAGCCACCAGGACGTTCCTGTTCTCTGCATCCTGCAGAGCCTCAGCTGCCTGCTCTCCTCATCTTTTCCCAGCATTCCAGCTCCACCCTGCAGAAGGCTCCTGAGTCTTGACATGTATGCCGACCTCTCCCCTCAGGCCCAGGCCACCCGTGCAGCTGCCTCAGGACTTTCTCACCTAGAAGGCGCTGGCTAGCATTTCAAAGCAACAAAAATTAAAGCCACCAGAATATATACTCTATTAACTGGTTCTGACTTTTCCAAATCACCATTTTTGTGAAAGATCTTAATATTTCACTGTCCTTCAGTTTAGAAGCCTTTCAATGGTCCTTGACTCCACTGTCCCTCTGACACATTGTCCAGACACCAAATCATGGCCATTTGTCTTAATTGATCTCTTCATTTCCTTTCCTATGGCACTGCTGCAACTAAGACCTACATTAATTCTTCAACTGTTACAAAGGCCTCTTAAGAGTGTCTTAAGCCAGGATTCTCTAGCATGCTGCCATCAGAATATTCATCTGCTGAATCCTTTTGACTGTCAGTTCTTTGTTCAAATTTCACTGGTCCCACATACCTAATTAGTAGTAAGAATAATGCCCAACATTTACTGTGCACACTATCTTGCAGTTTACATAAGCTATGTTATTTAGTCTTTATGGCAGTTCTCCTCATTTTACGGAGGAAAAACTGAGGCACAGTTAATTCATTTGACCAAGGTCATGTAGCTAGGATGCGGTAGAAGCAGAATTAGAATGTGGCAGTCTGATTTTAGAACTCTCCCTTAACCACTTTGTGGCACATCCTGCTGTCTTGTTTAATGAACAAAATGGAACTTTAGCTTGACCCTTTACATCCTCCTCAATTTGCCCTCAACCTTCATGTTTTTGTTTTGTTTTGTTTTTTTCTTCTCTACTCTTCCAAATTCTAGCAAACCTTGTCATTCTTAGTCCACGCATTTTATTCTCCCCACTCCGTACCTCTGCTTGTGCGCTCATTCCTCCAAAAGCACCCTTTATCCTCACTCCATTACCAGTCACAGTCCCACTTTGGACAATGCTGTATAAATTGTTTCTGGATTTACTCCAGAAATAAATCGTTTCCCTCTTCTCTGAATTCCCACAGCCTTTTGTACTATTACTGTGGCCCTTGTTCCCCCCACCCATGTTTTATAGTTGTTTATGTGTGCGATTTCTCTTCTCATCCAAGTCTATTTCCTTGACCGTGTCTTTTTTTCTTTATATATCCTAAAGTACTTAGAAAGCTCCATGCACATAAATGACGCTTATAAAAATGTTGAATATCGCTTCTGTGTTAAGAAAGCATTTTTGTTTGTGATAGCTATGATAAAATGATATAACCTTTAAAAATTATTTTTTAAGGATGAGTTAATACATTTTTCTATGTTGATGATAGATATAAGTTCTAATTTTTCTCTATCTGATGAAGCTTAATATTTTCATATATAATCTTGCTAGTCTACTAATCATTCTTGACAAGATATTTATTAGTGTATGTGTTTATTATTATGTATATTAGTAATTAAAATGTGCTAAATATAGAAAATATGTCAGATAATATTAATACCACTGGAAATATTTCATATGTTAAATTAGAATTATATGCAGTGGTTGGGGGATTAGTGGAATATATTGAAAAAGGGATCGTGAATCTATGTGGCTGAGAATCTACTATATATGTATATAAAATTCTACTATATATAAAATATGAATCTACTGTATATATATATATATATATAAAGTAAAAATCTACTATATATAAAATATACATAAAATTCTTTAATTCTGGGGCAAAAGGTTGAAGAAAGCTGTCTTCCAAAAGAGTACTCATCCAAAGTTCATTTATTCACTTGTCAAATATTAAAAAAAAAATGTTTTAGCATATCCAGTGTTGTGTTCTAGGGAAGGAGATTCTGATCTAAAAGAAGTCTTTTTGGTGGACAATTTCCTTTAGAGAAATACTTGAACTAATGGACAGTAAAGGAAAATCTAGAAAACAGTTTGGGATTTTGGTACATGGATAACAATTTCAGAGAAGACACTTTTTAAAGCAGGAGGCAAACTAATTTGGGCTTATTTGGCTTATTATAATTTGAGTAAATAAAATAGAGTGGATGAAAAAGAAATGCTAAAATGAGATAAGATTACTGTTTTAACTGTACATGGTTTGTTATTTGGGGAAAGAAGTAAATAATTGGTATCTTTTAACACAGGGATGTGCTTTGTGGTTACCTTTTGTGCACCAATATTGGTAATATCCCCAGGCTTGGAGAACTTGATGGTGAAATCACATCTACTTTGGTTGTGCAGCAGGGAAGGACATTAAACTGCAGGTAATCATCTTCCCCATTCTATGAGAACATTGGTCATCTTACTTCTGAGGAATGCCTCGTAGAGTTACTTTGGTTTTTTCAGTTCCCATGTGTGTTAGCAAGCTGAAACAGAATCTAGCCTGTAGGGGTGACCAAGTAAATCCTGACACAAAAAGGTTGAAAAGAAGCTAAGAATTAGTTGACTATGGTTGCTGGAGTTATGTTTCATGGGTTGAGAATATCTTGTAGGGTTTAGTTTACATTTCATTCCTATTAAGGAAAATGAGTCAGAACTCCTGGGTAAAGTCAGTAGATTAAATATGTGCATCTTCCTTTACTCCCTTCTGAACCCCCACCAAAATGACAGTAACTGGATCTTCTTTGGAATTCATGTATCCACAGGGCAGTAGAGAAAGGGAGAGGAGACAACAGCAACAAAATTTGGGAGTGTGGGGGCGCCTGGGTGGCTCAGTTGGTTAAGCGACTGCCTTCGGCTCAGGTCATGATCCTGGAGTCCCAGGATCGAGTCCCGCATCGGGCTTCCTGCTCGGCAGGGAGTCTGCTTCTCCCTCTGACCCTCCACCTTCTCATGTACTCTCTCTCTCTCATTCTCACTCTCTCAAAATAAATAATAAATAAATCGTTAAAAAAAAATAAAGCATCAATTATTAAAAAAAAAAAAATTTGGGAGTGTGGAGAGCATATGGATGTGTGGCAAATGATCGTCAAAACTAAGAAAGCTGAATTCCTAAGTCAGTAATGGGGAAAACGGAGAGCTAACCTGGTATATAAAGTCATTTCCCCAAAGGCTCAAAAACTGGCAGCATCATCTACTTCTGGAAGACAGAGTAAAAGGATTCAGGGACAGGGAAGGGCTAAAATAGAGAAGATAGTTGAAAAGTCTGCCAACAGATTACTTCCTGACTCACCTAAACTGGGGATTGCTCACCCTCTCATGGAAGATTTTGAACTTTACATTCTACACATAATCAAACAGTTTTCCGAACTGAAGGACAACCGGCAATATTGATACCAGCAAGTGGACCAGCCTCATTGATGTTCAGCCAGAAAGCCCTAAAATTTCCTATCACTTATCTGATGACTCAAATATGAGCAGTTTTTTTTTAAAGATTTTTTAATTTATTTTTTAACAGAGAGACAGAGACAGCGAGAGAGGGAACACAAGCAGGGAGAGTGGGAGAGGGAGAAGCAGGCTTCCCGCCGAACAGGGAGCCTGATGTGGGGCTCGATCCCAGGACCCTGGGATCATGACCTGAGCCGAAGGCAGACGCTTAACGACTGAGCCACCCAGGCGCCCACAAATATGAGCAGTTTATGAGACATGTGAAGAAAGGCTCAAACACACATACACAAAGAGATAAAAACAACCAGAAAAAAGGGCACCTGTCAATATTTATGAGAGATAAGATACTTCTATCATGAAAAGGAATAGAGTGCTATTTTTTTAAACAAATGAAGAACATTCATAGAAACAAATGCTGTTGGAAATTAAAAATATGGAGGTAGAGATTAAACCCAGTAGTTGAAATTATCTCCCAGAAAGTAGGGCAAAAGCAGGAAAAGAGTGGAACATAGAGAAAACCTCACCAAGTTGGAATAGGAATGATGAACAGGGAAAATAGCAGGGAAGAAATTGTCAATGAGTGACTTAGATTGTCTACAGAGGATGGACTTGAGCGTCCACATTGACAGGCTCACCAAGTGCAGGTGGAGTGAGTGAACTCCGAGGCACATCTAAACATATCATTATACAACTTCAGAACCTTAGGACAAAGAAAAGAATCCCAAATGTTTTCAGAGAGGTGAAAAAAAAGATCAGACTTAGGATCTATCAGCAGGAGCCCTGGGAGCCAGAATACAATGGAAATCATGATTTCTGAACTAAGTTCTGTACCCAGGCAAAATATCAATCAAATGTGAAGGGAGAAAATGGACACACTTTTAGATATGCAGGTTCCCCTGCAAATGTACTCCCCCATACCCTTTCTCAGGAAGCTATTAGAAATTGTGTTCCACTCAAATGAAAGCATAAGGTAAGAAAGGGAAAGGCTGGTCATATAAGAAACAAGAGACCCACCACGTAGAGTGAAGAGTCAGGGCAATCCTCCCATGAACGGTGAGGGGAAACCCCAGATACTACAGTTCTGTACAAGGTACAGCGGACAGCCAGATCAGACAGGAGCAGGGTACATTCCAGATAGAAACTCCGGGAGAGATTTCTGCAGGAAGAAGAACTGATGCTCAGACAACACATCTTGGGAATTTGGGGATCAACAGAGTTTGATTAGTTTTGTATTAGTGACAAATTCTTAGAAAAGTAGGCAAAAAGACAACAAACAAGAGACTTGCTAATCTGAGGAAAAATGAAAAGTTGTACAGGAAAAGAAAAGGCTTAATTATGGCATGCTGTATCACTCAACTGAGTAACATTTACATAGTCCTAATAGTGTGCATTTTTATTATTGATTTGAGTAGTGATTAAACAAAATTTACTACGGGAGGATAGGAGAAAGATACAGATTTTCAAATTCCATAGAGTTGGAGTCAGTATCTGAAATGGAAAAATAAAAAAAATAGTAACACAAACTCTTAATTAAAGATATGTACATAAATAACAAAAGAATCAAATAAAGTAGAAAGTGGTTTCCTCCAAAGAGGGATATATGGTGGAGGAGAGGGCCCTGAACCACTTTATTGCATTAAAAAAAAAAAAACAATTTGTCTCTTTGACTCTTTAAACTATATGCATGTGTCATTTTGATAAAAAATAAATAAATAAAAAGAATGGAGATTTATGTGCTGACATTGACGTGGCACCATATGACTAAATTAAGGATTTACATTTTAACCGTGTTCTGTTTTATTTATTCCTATATAATATTTAGGCATGCTATATTGAATAGTGAAGTTAATAATATAGCCATTCTCAATTATCATTTTTAAATTAGCAATCTTCTTGGGAAATGTAAACCCAAACCAATTCTCATCCTTGTTTGAAACATGTTTGAAATCTTGAGACTTACCCACTTATCAAACCAAATACTAGTAATAATGACTCACTTGACTTGTACATGATAGCCAAGGCAAAATGATAAAGCTATTTCAGTTTAGTCCCTTGTTATAATAATTATGTTTAAATCCTAAAATATATCCGTATCTCTGAAAGAATCAGATCAAAAGATTCAATTGCTTTCTCCATTTAGAGGTTGAAAATGGTTGTGCTATTGGTTTTTATTAGGTGACAAATAGAAAAATAGAGAAAGTGTTATTGCCCACTTTTTAGTTTAGCTTAGTGTTTTTTAGTGAGAGAGAGAGAGAGTGTGTGTGTGTGCATTCTAGCAGCGGGGGAGGAGCAGAGGGAGAGGAAGAGAGAGAATCCCAAGCAGGCTCCACACTTAGCCCAGAGCCCAATGCAGGGCTCGAACTCACAACCCTGAGGTCACTACCTGAGCTGAACTCAAGAGTCAGACACTTAACCCACTTTTTAGTTTTTAAGCAAATTCTCAAAATGAATGTGAATTAATGGAATCCTATTTTCTTTCTGCTCTCTGTTTTTAGTGGTGGGCATGTGAAGCTTGAAGAAGATGTCGATCTTGGCTATGTGGAAGATGGGACACCTTGTGGTCCCCAAATGATGTGCTTAGAACACAGGTGTCTTCCTGTGGCTTCCTTCAACTTTAGTACTTGCTTAAGCAATAAAGAAGGCACTGTTTGTTCAGGAAATGGAGTAAGTATTCAGTACTTTGCCATAGGGAAACTCCTCTATTCTTTTATATCGCAGAAATAGATATGACCCTAACCTGCTTATTTTGTAAAAATCGAAAATGTGCTTATCCATGTTTCTAGCTGGCTTGTAAACAGGTCTTTGGTCATAGTCATTGGAATATTTCTGTTGTGTAATCTGTGCAAGCCTGGGAATAAGAAAAAATATAATCTTCCTAATCAAATTCTTCCATTTTTCTTTCTCATTATGTTAATGTGATCTCATATAATATAATGCCAGTTTTCTACAAGTGATCTGGGAGAGAAGTTTTTTTTGTATTTTTGTTTTTGTCTTTTTTTATTTGACAGAGAGAGAGAGAGAGATGCCGAGAGAGAGAACACAGCAGGGGGAGTGGGAGAGGGAGAAGCAGGCTTCCCAACAAGCAGGGAGCCCGATGCGGGACTTGATCCCAGGACCCTGAGATCATGACCTGAGCTGGAGGCAGACTCTTAATGGCTGAGCCACCCAGGAGCCCCTGGGAGAGAAGTTTTAATAAACTCTAATGGGACTTTAAAAAGGGTGTAAAAAGGGGCATTGGCCACAATATTTAACAACTGATATGGTCCAGTCACTGAGCAATTAGAACAGATCATAAATAGCTGCTGTAGCCACACCAAGCACGTATCAGCTAAGGATAACTCCTAGAAATAAAAACTGAATAAGTCAGAGAAATGTTTATCACAGGTGAATAGAAAGAATAGCATTGTTTAAAAGACAAAATTCTATTTTTTCAGTCACATATCTGATAATGTAGGTCCTATATAAATAAGTTTATAAGTTAAATAAACATGCCCCAATAGTGATCACAGTTTGGTCATTTTCTTCTTTTTTTTTTTTTTAAGATTTTTTTTTTCTTTTTTTTATTTGACAGAGAGAGACACAGGGAGAGAGGGAACACAAGCAGGGGGAGTGGGAGAGGGAGAAGCAGGCCCCCCGCTGAGCAGGGAGCCTAATGCGGGGCTCCATCCCAGGACCCTGGGTCCATGACCTGAGCCAAAGGCAGACGCTTAACGACTGAGCCACCCAGGCGCCCCTGGTCATTTTCTGTTAGGAATTCCTATACTAATAAAATATTTTGCTTCTTTTTCTTTTGGCATGCACTATGATTTTTTTTTTTTTAACCCTACCTACATTCTTGGCTTGAACTGGTCATATTATCCAGTTGAGGTAAAGGATCCCTGTCCTGAAACTGTAAGCCTTCAATCGTGGTCATTCCATTAGATCCTCCAGGGATATGCCAAGCATTTTCTTAGGGAGGTCTTACCAACTGTAACTCTTTGCCAAAAGATAGGAGTTCTTATGGCAAGTGAAAATAGAGAAGGCACATAGTAAGTAGTTCTGCTCCTACAAAGGGGTCTGCTAAGTCTTCTTTCTTGAATAAGTGAGAAGATGTTAAGGGGAAATGCTTTTTGGGGGGATAGGGCAAAAACAGTGGAATTACTTCTTGATCATTCATGGTAATGATAACAATGTTTTCTTCATCTAGAAGTATATACATGGAGACCAAACAGTTTTGTTAATAAAATATTTGTTTAACGAATGAATAAATTGATAGACACGAGTAATTTAGGTGGCAAATATCCAAATCATTTGCAGTAATTATGCATAATACAGAGACATTATGTCCTATGTATTTTTAATTCATAGTAACTCTATATATACAACAAAAATTAAAATGAGAATACAGTAGATACTGTCTATGTACTGTACATTGTATAGTTAAGAGTATGGGCTTGGAATCAGACAGTCTGAGTTTGAATCCCATCTCTATTTCTTTCTAACTGAGTGAGATTTGACAACTCATTTAGCCTCTGTGCGATTCGGTTTATTCCCCTGTAAAACCAGAAGAAGAAGAATATTGTGTGCTTTACAGGATTGTTGTGAAGAATTAGTGAGTTAATACTTGTAATTTATATGTAATACTTAAAACAATGCCTGAGGCATAGTGAGCGTTGGGTAGATGTTTTCTAGGACTCTCTTGTGATTGCTGTACACTGGTGTCACTGTCCTTGTCACTGTGTCACTGTTGTGTGATGTGGAAACTGAGTGTTGGACCTGCTTAAAACCCATTGATAAGACAGCGGTGAAATGGGCACGCACACCCAGGCCCTTTGACTTTAAACTTCAACCTTTTTCTTCCTGCATATTTGTCAATCTGCAGAGATTTGTTAATCTGAAATCTGCATTTTCTTAATATTTTATAGTTACTTTTTTTTTTAAAGATTTTATTTATTTATTTGACAGAGAGATAGCGAAAGCAGGAACACAAGCAGGGGGAGTGGAAGAGGGAGAAGCAGGCTTCCCACTGAGCAGGGAGCCTGACGCAGGGCTCGATCCCAGGATCCTGGGATCATGACCTGAGCCGAAGGCAGACGCTTAACGACTGAGCCACCCAGGCGCCCCTATGGTTATATTTAGATGTGGATGTGTGTCATAGATTAGACAGAAGACAGAAAGCTATCCACTGACAGCCTGGCCCCAGAAGAACTCTGATCTTAAACCTAGCTGAATTCTCCCCTATTTCCCACTCCATTGAAAGTTGAAGTATAAGATCTAGGTGTAGATTCCGTTTCCTGGACGTATAAGTGAAGATAGATTATTGTCTTATAATTTTTAAAAGTTTGGTGCCATTTTATGTGAAATTTTTTCCTTACATTTTGTTTGAGGGGTTCGCAGTTTCCATGACGTGGAGGTTGTTCATCTCTGTCACTTGGGTTGAGGTGCCAGGGCTATAGCTTTGTAGCTTTGTGAAACTTTCGTCTTAGACCAATCAGGCCTTCCCTCTTCCTCATTGGATTGCGCTTTATCTTATATGCTTCCTAAAAGATGAATAAAACTTTGGTATAAAGATCGTTTCTTTGGAAGAAACTTTTATCAAATGATTGTATTTCTGCTCAGTTTTAAAACTCTCCCTCCTATAAAATTTAAGTTAATGAAATTCAAAACAATAATTTCATTGATTTCTTTTTAGACTGTAAATTCATTTCCCCTGCTAAAATTCATGATTCCCTTTGGGTCTAACTGCTGATCTCTAGAAAATATTATTTTAGGTACTTGAAAAAGAAATAAGGAAATTAGTCTTTAGAAGAAAGTACTGATCATTTTTCAGTACCATCAAATTCTAGGCATATAACAGAAATTAGTGCTTATTTTTCATGCTTCTGTATCAGTGAGTTGACCTGTACTCTTGACTGATTTTGGATTTCAGGTTTGCAGTAATGAGCTGAAGTGTGTCTGTAACAGACACTGGATTGGTGCAGACTGCAGCACGTACTTCCCTCACAATGATGATGCAAAGACTGGCATAACTCTGTCTGGCAATGGTAGGTACTTGATTACTGCCATTACATAGTTTTTATACACAAGGAGAGAGAACTGCTCTTCAGAGAGTTTCATTTGGATTATTGTTATAGCTCAAATATAATATACAACTGGGATCCACAGTATGAAATTGATATTTTCCATTAAATTATAATCATGTGTAATATTGAATATAACTTAGTCTACTGATTTAACCTTATCTTGTCCTACATCAGACTGAGATTTTTCAAGTATTCTGTTTTGCGGATGGTGACAACAAACCTTAGCATTTCTTTTAAATGAAGAAAGTAGTCCTATTTCTTAACTGTCTGAATTTAAGGAGAGATTTTTATATTTTGGGATTGAATACATAGAAAAAAATAATTTGAAGAACTGGTTTATTTTTTAAAGATTTTATTTATTTATGCAAGAGAGAGCATGAGCAGGGAGTGGGAAGGGCAGAGGGAGAGGGAGAAGCAGGCTCCCCACTGAGCAGGGAGCCTGACTTGGGGCTGGACCCTGGGATCATGACCTGAGCTAAATGAAGGCAGACACTTAACCGACTGAGCCACCCAGGTGCCCCTGAAGAACTGACTTTTAAATATCTTGTTGGCTTTAATATTTTTTTGTTATAGAATCCCATCTCTATTCAACCCCAGTTCTCTAGCCTGAACTGTAGGTAATTCTAGAAGTAGTAACCTTGGCAGAGGTGTCTAGAAGGGGGTTAAGGACATAGATAATAAACAATGGGTGCAGATCTAAAAGCTACAGTGGCCCAAATGGAGAGGTAGAAATTAAATGCAGATAGTTGTAAGAACACATGCCTTGGAGGTAGATGTCCCCTTTTAAACTATTTTATCATTTTTCATGATTGAGTATTAATTAATGTTCAAATCCTGAAGTCCATTCATATCCCTGTTCATTGTAATCATCCAGACAGGTTAAAAATACTAGCCATGATGATTTTAGCAAGGGAAGTCAGTGAATGATGAAGATTCTGGTGTCCTCAGTCTTAACAAGGGTAGTATGGAGCTTTTTTCAGCAGTGAATGCAGAAATGAGGCTATTCAGGTCCCTGGATTTAAGTGACTTGTCAGAAGTCATATCATTACTTAGAAATAACCAGGCTAAGCCTCCAAGTTTATTGATCCCTGTAAAAATCGCTGGAGGAAAAAGAAGAAAAGGCAGATATGCTAGGCCCTAGAGTAAGAAAACCCCAGTGCCCCAGTGGGTCCTCTGGCATCTGCATCCCCCCCATCCCACAGAGGGCATGCGCAGGGTGGGCTCTGCCGGTTTCCTCAGATGCCCTGCCGTAGGACACGACTTACTGAGGCCTCCCATACAGGGAGGCGCCGCTTCTGTCATGGGGATTTGCGATCTGCCCTAGTTGCCCGTGATTACAAACTGTTGACATCTAGAAAGATGCTTCAGGAGTGCCGCAGACCAAGAGAGACCTGAGCTGCTCTGAGTGAAACAGATCTGGGTTATTTAAGCATCTGGTATAAATCATTATCAGCAAAGCAGCCAGGCCTCTGATCTGCCTTTTCTGCTCCTGGGCCCTCCCTTGAGTCTCTTGCCCGAGCCTTTGACTTATGGGGTCACTCACACTGCTATGATCCCCCTAAGGATTCCATCTCTGCCTTCCTGACAGCAGATGCTGACACACAGTGCCATTACTGAGTCCTGAGCGCCGGCCTCACCTTGGCCCTCTGCCGGTCTGCTGCTGCCTGGCTCTTGTGCCTGGCCAGCACCAATCTCTGCCTCGCCACACACTCTCTTTTCCTTTGGTTTCTTTCCTTCTCTAGGATGTCACAGCCACAATTACCAACTGGGAACTATGAGCCCAGTGCTTGGATCACCTGAGCACTCATTATATAAATCCATAGACACATTTTCTCTCTCAAGGAGCTTATATTTGAGAAACAAAATATCACACATACAACCGAGGGCGATAAGGACCTTGCGTTAGTGGTCAGGATGAAGGATATGGACAGTCACATTTCTGGAATTCCTGAGCAAGAGGTCAGGGTCAAAAGGAACATGGATTTCTTCATGCCCCTATCCAGAGAGTGCTATGGCAGTGTAGTAGGGTCGGCTCTCCCTTTGCTTTTTATTTTCTACTCTTCCTTCTAGTAGTTCAGTGACCTCATCTTATTTTCCAGAAAATTACACGGGAAATAAAACTGCGCAAAATATACTGGGACAAGAATGAAAAGGGGATGTAGACAAAGAATTATGTAAACAAACAGTTGATGCGGATTTGCTAAGTAATGCTTGATTTTTCGTCCCTTTAAAAAAACACCCGCTTTTTTACTTCACAGTGTGTATGGATATCAAATCATTATGTTGTACGCCTGAAACGAATACAACCTTATGTCAAGTGTAGCTCAAGAAAATTAAATTAAAAACGTGTTCTCTAAGATTGAGATTTAAAGGAAAAAAATACCCACTCTGTAAAACAAATAATTTTGTTAGTGTGGCGATTACAACTATGGGGAATAATGTTCCTGAAAGAATTTTATATCAAACTTTCAATTATATACACTGATCTTCATTGTTTTCTTTCTCCCCTCATAGGTGTCGCTGGTACCAATATCATAATAGGCATAATCGCTGGCACCATCTTAGTGCTGGCCCTCATATTAGGAATAACTGCATGGGGTTATAAGTAAGTGAAATGTCTCAGTATTGTTACTATCGAAATACACTTTAAAACATTTTGTTTAAATTAATTAAGCACCTAGAAAGTTGTGTATCATTGGATAAATATACCTGCAATGAAAATCAGTCTGGTTCCACAGGCAATCAGTGAATAGTCTTGGCATGATTAGAGGTAATAATAATTTACTATGTTTTTAGATTTTGAGGTAACTCCCTTCTATTCTAAAAGTAAAGAATATTGTTTTAAAACCGTTACGTGAAGTAAAACCAATCTAAATCGTGTCTTACGCGAAGGCTGTGTTCGTTTGCTCTTGAGTGACACGGGCTCTCTTGACTTAAACCCACGCCCAGAGATCTAGGCAAGATGGTCCCGTAGGGAGCCTAATGCTTCAGTACCAACAGCAGTGACACCATCAGTTCTCAGCAGGAACAGCAGCGGCGGATCTGTGACCGAGTACTTGCTGTGGCCCTGCATCATGCCAGAGGCAGAACCTCTTTCTCTTCACACCCAGTACGAAGGGGGCACTATCATTTGTTAACTATTGGGTGTTTGTGTGTGAAGAAAATACTGTTCAGACTTCATTTGTTCACATTCAGAGTCAACTTTTACTACTTTTAATATGTAATTCTTAAGCTTCAAGTTCAGCTTAGAAGTTTTGGGTTCTTATTTATAATTTTTAAAAAGTTACAAATTACATAACTTTTGAATACTGAAACCCCTTGAGCATTTAGCTAAGAAGATGACTTCAGACTTTCCAAACTTACTTATTTATTGAATATGTTCAGTTTCCTTTTGAAGTACTTCAGTATTAATGATGTAAAAAATTTCCTTAGTATTCAAGTAACTTATTTAAGTTTAATAAATTGAAACTTAAATATGGTGAACCTTGAGTTCTGTTTAATATTTCAACTTAAAATCATTGTTCTGCTGATCTCTCATGATGATGTTTCAGTACCCCGGCCCTAGGGTTTTTCTCCATTTGAAGGGCCTACAGTATTTTCTAGGCATTCTGGCCATTACCCCATTTTATAGTATTCCCCCCCTCCCCAATATACCTGACTTACTTCACTGACAGACTTGGGAATTAGGATATTTTAGGCTTCAAAATTACCACAAACTGTTCAATAGACTAGGCACTATGTAATTATGTGCTATTATTATTATTATTATTATTATTACCTGACGTGGTCTTAAACCAACTCATTTGATGAAAATCTCTTTAAAAGTATATATGGCTGTTGTTTGTTGTGAAGTCAGAACCCTGAAAGAGTTTCTTTGGCGGAAAAGAGAGCAGTTAGCTTACTGCCAAGATAAACTTTGTATGCTAAAAGCATTAAAATACATGAGGGCATCTGTGGAAGGCTATTTATTAACAAGTAACATGGACAGCCTAGACAGTAAAGTTTAGCATAACATGGTAACTATGGCATCGAGCAGCAAAAGAGGGCACAGCAGTCAGAAAGCTTTGCCCTGATTAAATGAGTACCTAGCCCTGTACCAGCTCATAGATGATCAGTACCTATGAGCCTCTTTGATGTGCAGGCCATTAGCTCTCTTGCATACTTCCATTTGCACGGGCTGATTTCATCATAACGTTTGCAGTTACAAAATTACATGTCTGAAAGGAAGGCTTTTCTGAATATTTATCATTTGACCTCGCCTCACACCTCAGGTGAATTAGCCCCATCTTGGAGTTACGCTATTTCCTCGACTTTCCTGATTTAAGACCTGTGTGGTAATTGCCATCACAAGCTTTGATCTTTTTGAAGTAGCTCAGTGGTTTCATTGGTCATGTGAAAAGGGGAAGGCAAAATTATTAGTTCTGTTGTGTGTGATTTTCTGCCACCTACTGATGCAAATTGGTATTTCTTGTTTTTGCAATCTTGGAAAAAAATTACCTTTCAGAAAATATGAAATCTAAACTTCTACTTCTCTTGCTAAGGAAATTACCTGTGTCCATTTGTTTTAATGATTAGAATTAAAGTACTTCTTTCTGTTTACATTTCTTATTTTCATGAAATTCTTTTGAGATTTCACCATTTTTTTTTCATTTCTGAATATATGTACTTTGCATATTCACTAAGGAAAAAGACAAATCTTATTTATACCACAGAATCCTCTTCATAAATTTGAACCTGAGTGATGAAAGTTTTAGTGCTACTAAACTTAATTCAGAGTATGTTTAAGAATAGAACGAAAGTGTAGAAGTTTTAATACAGGAATTAAATTCATGAAATTCACCTGAGAACTCGTTTCCTTATTAATGCTTCCAATTAAACTTTCTACCATTCTCCAAGCCTTGGAGTGAGGGAATGGCGGAATAGGCAAAGAGGAATACTTATTTGGAACTGATGGACCACTAGGTAATCAGATGGAGGGAATAAAAAGTAAAACATACTGAATAGAAAGAGTCTGGGACTTATTCTCCCCCTTCCCCAATCTGATGGTTTCAACTATGAAAAATATAAATAACGAATTGGCACTTTTACTCTCATGAGCTCATTATTAAACCAAGATACTTATAGGGTGTATGAAATAGATAGGCAGATGAAGGTGCTACAAATAAAATTGATATGGAAACTTTATCCTTGATGTGGGAAGGAAGGAGCCCCGTACTCAGTTGCTTGACCTTTCTAACGTGTCTTCAGAATATTAACACTTAATTAGGTCACGATAGAAAGTTAAAAATTAAGTCTTTTGAGTTGTAAATTAAAAGTCACTGGTGCCTTACTATTACACCCTCTAGAACACATTTTTAATATCGGTTTGTTTTAAAAACTCATGTAATTTTGTTTTAGTGTATGGCCAAATGAAAAACAGAGACTAAAGTTTGAACAAAGTATTTCCAATGTAAAGTTTCAGTAAGTAGTGATCACTTAGAAGGTCCCTAACAGCTGTGAATTAACTCACTCTGATATATCCTACCTGATGAAATAAGATGTTCCCATGTCCAATCATGTTTTCCCATTTGAAATTCTTAGGAAGAGCTTTAGTTTGGGATGTATATTCCAAAAGGAATGAATTATGATTTTTATTTCTATGAAAGTGGTTAATTTATAGAAGTAACTTGAATAGGATTGACTTTAGAACATTACTAACTAAATGTTTCATATGGTACAACTGATATTGGGAAAACAGGTGTTCTTTCATAACTGAAGCTTATTTATGCTGTTAAAATATTTATTTGAAAATTTTGTCACTAACCCTTTGATGTCGCTTCTAAAGATGAAGTAGAGAGAGAGAGTGTGTGTGTGTGTGTATTGTGTGAGAGAGAGACTGTGTTTGTATCCCCCATTTTACTTTACTTTTTTAAAGATTTTATTTATTTATTTGAGAGAGAAAGAGAAAGTGAGAGAGAACATGAGAGGGGAGAGGGTCAGAGGGAGAGGCAGACTCCCTGCCAAGCGGGGTGCCTGATGTGGGACTCCATACTGGGACTCCAGGATCATGACCTGAGCTGAAGGCAGTTGCTTAACCACTGAGCCACCCAGGCACCATGTATTCCCCATTTAGTTTTGCAATTCAGAAATCCTCTAGTGGAGACCTTTCAATGAATGCTAGACCTTTCATGTTTATTGCTCTCTCTGAATATACTTCCATAGGTAACTAATTCTTCTTTTTTTTCCTTTTCTTCTTGTCCATGAAAAGAAATTATCGAGAACAGAGGTATGTGATGAGAATAATCTGAACACATAACTGAAAGGTTTAAATCCTATTAACATCCTTGGAATTCATACATGCAGTTATAAAAGTTATAAATGTTGACTTTGTTTCTGTGATCATAGAGCAATCTTGTTTTTCATGACCTTGAAACGATAATTTTAATAATGGTGCTGTGGAATGTATTATTTATTTAAAAATAGATCTATCATTATTTAATTTTAGTGGTTCTTTCATCCAACAGTACCATAATAATAGAAGTTACTTGTGCTACTATTTATAGTAATGTATAGTAATGTATATGGAAATGAACTTTTTTCCATCTAAAACAAACTTCCTCTATGTTAAGGAATCACCTGTGTTTACATTAGTTAATTGGCTTTTCTTCATCTTTTTAGCAATCTTATTGCCTAGTGCTTTCTGAAGGAATTTATTTTTTATTTGTTACTATTGTTATATTAATAACTTCCATACAAAAATGATAAAATTTATTTGGGCACAGTGCTGGGATCAGGAGAATGTCCTGGTACTTGATGGGCCTGTTTACCTCTGCATAAGAGAATATTTTTGTACTGATTAGGTAATTGGGTAGGTAAATAATTTGCATTATTGGAATCTCACATTGTCTAGTGTAAAGGCCATAAAGTCAGACACCCTGTTCATCATAACCTTAAAATCTATGTTTAACCATCAGCATAAAAAGAGGTACAGAGCACTCATGTAGTTTTATAAAAATGTCTATTTTTTTCTAAATCTAAATTAACCCATTTTGAGATATCCCCTTCACTTTTCACATTTAAAAAATTATTAATGCTCTTAGCTATTATACAAAAAATTTAAAATATCCTGGAAGACCGGGTCTTATGCATCATATAATACTAGTTTTGTACTCAAGATAACTGTGCAGATTCATACTTAACTTTACCCACTGTTGCATCAAATGTCAGACAGATTGAGAATAAGATGTAATAAACATGATAACACTTTTTCAGGCCCTAACCAGCTTTCATTTTTTTCACAGATTAAAATTTTGAACTTTACTTTTCTGTTTCGTTCCATGTTGCAATTTAAAATTCCTGTAAGAAGACTTTAGCCATAAGTGTCTACAGTCTCTATAAATGTGCTCATATTGAACCAACTAAGATCCTGGTCCCTTAGCATAGATATAAGAAAATATTCATCCAGTCCTGCGGTAACTAACTAACTCGTCATTAGTGGGAAAAGTAAACCCGAGACAAAATGACTTAAGTCTTAAAAACAACTACATTTCTTTTTGACATGTTTAAAACTCTTGTGTTTAGAATCACTGGAGAAGAGCTGGAATCATTTAAGCTTTCTCTTGGATAGAATTTGATCAGTCATATCAGAAATCTAAGTTTGGTGGCTTTCTCCAATGAAAAACAAAATTAGGCTAGTAAGACCAAATATTGATGACTCAGCCTCATTTCCGTAGTAGCTAAGGCTATAAGGTAATTTAATATTGCTTACATATAAAAAGGAAAGTAAAATGTCACAAATATAAGCCACATAAGCAAACCTAAAGCAGTGCTCTAAGACACATTCTCACCTGGAGTACTATCCAGAATAAGGGAATTGCCCACACTACAAATAATTATTAATATGCAAAACTGTGTACCAACTTCTTATTCTAACTCAATATCTACATAGGTACAGTTGAGAACATTTTTTGCATTAAGAATTTCCTTTATGTGTCTGATATAATTTCATGCCTCCTGGCATTACTGAGTCATCATTTTATCAATCTGGTTACTATTTTGGAATCTAGTTCATATTTTGAGAGTGGTTACATCTTCGACAGGTATTTATTTTATGTATTTTGCTATATTTCATTACAATATTTATTTATTTTTGCCCTTGTCTATAGCTAATGAGTCTTAGACTTGTAGAATAATTCTCAAAATGAAGAAGTAGCAAATAATGGACTTTAATAAATATCTTCTGAAGGATTTTCCTTTTTGAGAATATTTGTCAGTGGTGATAGAGCAGGTAGGGAAAGGCCAGTGGACCAAAGCATGCATTAAGAAATGTATCGTCTTATAAAAATATTTTCAGATGTTCAGAAAGATGTGTTCAGTTCCGAAGGATGCTAGGAAATAGAAATAAGAATTTTGAGTTGTCTTTGTCTTTAAATTTAAAGGTTTTCCTTTGAGGTTCCATGGTGGGAGGACTAAGTGACAAGGAATCAGAAATTCACTTGCTAGGATGTGATTTCTTGAGAAATCACTTAAATTTCCCACGACTTTTAAATCAGATAAAGTTCTATGTAATCTGTGAAGCATCATAGTGAGGGAAGTTCTTAGTATGTGGTCTCTGAAGACTTTGTGTTTCTCTGATCTTCAGATGAAGGTGAATGTGGTTGTTCTTACAGAGAAAGGCAGCATTCATCCACATGAATGAGGCCGACATACTGGTTGACCTGGTGCAAGTATGGATGAACGTAAAGGTTTGCTCTGACACGAAATGCAAGACCATATTAAACATATAGCCAGTTATCAGATTCTTATTAATGATATAATGGCTTCAAAATGCCATTAGGCATAACTTTCAAATTATTAGAGGAGTCAGGCAAGTAATTCTGTGAAGGAGCTTGATAACCTGGCATGATAGGTTTAATTGCAAGTCTGACAACCCTTTGTTTTCTTTTTGTTTACAAACTGCTTAATAAAAACAGAAGCCCTGTTCTGGACACAGTAGAGGCAGAACCCCATGCATGAACAGTATCACTTTAAATCTGCCAGTGTTACCTTATGAAGGGGAGAACCATGTAACTTAGGAACCATGGAGAGTTCTTTATACATTATGTAGTTGGAAGGATGGCTGATCTTTTTCTTTAAAATTTTCAGGGACGAAGTCTTCCATATTATTTTCAGCTGATGCTATCATAATTGCTTTAGGATTTAGTGGCTGTATACTGTTTGTTTTTTTTTAAGACTTTATTTTTAAGCAATCTGTACACCCAGTATGGGGCTCTAACTAACAACCCCAGGATCGAGAGTCTCACACTCCACCAACTGAGCCTGCCAGGCACCTCAGCAACTGTATACTTTGATACAAGAATTATAAGTTTGAGCTTTAGTTTTCAGATTGGTTTGTAAGTAGCAATAGAATAAGAAAACATTAATTTGAACTTGAATTTATATAACATCCATATTCAGCTGAAATATTCTCTTCCTTTGTCTGAAATGAACACACATCATTATGATCAATGTGAAATAGAATAAATAATTAGATCATATCATCCTGATTTGTACCTTAAGCAGAAACCCCCTTCCCCATTTCATTTCTCTCTCACCTGTTTTAGCCAGTTTATTTTCTGCTTGTGAACCTCCCTCCCTCCTTTTTTTCAAACCTATCTTAGTTTGTTTTTATATTATTATTATTATAGTAATATTCATGCATCTGTCAGTGTGACTTGGTACACATTATATAATATTTCTTAAAACAGTAGAGTAACAATTCTAATATCAGACAGCCCAGACACCAACAAAGCATTGGAGAAATGCCTCCTTCAGCATTAAGGTTAAGACTTAATTAAGTTTTTTTCATTGTATTCTCATTTTGAGTCTGTGTAAGGATTAAAGTTAAATATTATGGTTCATTGGACCCTTTAAGGAAAGACCAGACTACCCTCATAACAGGGTTCCTTTCTGAGGAAAAAGAATTTAGTTTAAAAAGCTTTTATTTTAGTCATTATTTATAAAAATTCATGTGTGTATCTACAATATTTGCATATAACGTGGGAAATATGAGGTAATGATCCCATGACAAAACTTGGCGCTGGTCAGGCCACCTAATGTAGTAATCACTTCGTGAGTCAAAATTCCATGAGATGATAAAAATTTAAGAAGAAAGCCATAAAGACTAGAAAAATAAATTTAATTAAAAAATTTAAAGAATCATTTAGTCATATAAGAAATGATGAAACGTTATTTTATTGATCATGGGGACCTGATATTCTCTATCTTCACTAAAGTTTAAACAAGAAGAAATAAGTTTGTTGTAATCTGCAATGGATACATGATTCTTCACTGGACAATGAAGAATGTTAAATATTATTCTTAAGAGATCTTTAACAAAATTCTTAATCTGTCATTAACATTGTTATTCATTTACTATGTGAAGAAAGTTACATGCATTTCTTATGTGATTTTAAGGGGAATACAGAGTAGTTTCTGTATTTTGGAGTCTTCTTAATAGAGATAGCTAAGAATCTAATCTGCTCATCACAATAAAAATAAGGCCACACCCCAGAAGTTCATTAAGCTTAAACTCCCTTCCACCCCTTGACTGAAGCCCATGGTTTATGATATGTTTGGTGTTTAGAATTTTTGTGCATTGTGTGAAAGATGACCATGCCCTGCAGAGAAATTACACTGAAGGAGTGGTAAAATGTGCAAAGTTAAAAAAAACAAAAACAAAACAAAACCAGCAACAAAACAAGGCCCATCTCTTGTGAGAGGTAGTCCATTTAAACCTGCAGCCTCAGCCAAGGAAGCCCTTGGTAAATGCCTGAATGCCAGAACCACGTAATGGTTTGGGGGGGATAGATTAATGGGAAAGGTCAGATGTAGTTGGAATTTGTCTTCATTTAACTTGAATTCAGTGAGACACATCTTATCAGCTTATACAGATTATTATTAAAGGTGATGATGAGAAAAAGAATTTGTTAACCATAAAGATTTTTGTTGGAAATGATGTTGAAGGCATTCTTTTATAAATATTAATATGATCTAAAAGGAAAGTTTACACCCTGAGGTGACATACAGAACTCTGAGTTTCTTGAGATCATTTTTTTTTCAAGCATGACAGAATGTTTTACTCATAGAAGGCAAGGGAGAAAATGTGATTCCAGAGATTAAAGATCTCTTGCATAACAATATGTATCATTTGTCCTGTATTATTAACACTGTGAATATGGGGAAATTGTACTATTTTTTGTATAAAATTAATGTTTCATAATATACTGGGAAAAAGAAAAAAGTTACAATGATGAGCTGAAGCCACTTAAGGGGTTAAAAATATTTCGAAAGAATATGTATCACAGAGTTCTAAAATTAGTCTTACAAATCTAATGAGAAATTTGACTTTCTTCAAAGGGGAGGATCACACAAATTAATCTATGTGCTTCCTATGGGTTGAAAAATTTTTTAGATTTGTGGAAATGTGTGAGTATATAGGATTGAAATAATATGAGGGAGGTATTCAAGTAATTCAAAAGAACAAATGACCAAGTGTTGTCAACGTTTCAAATAGAATAGGAATTGGTACAAGCAAGCAAACATCTGAAAGTGGCATTTTTTAAGATAGAATTTAGCATCAGCAAGTAACCAAGGTAAGCATCCTTACTAAGGAAAAACCAAGTAGAAAAAGGAGTTAGGAAATTTGGCCTTTGTTGGAGACCTATTGAAGCGTAACTCTGTTTAAAATTCTCAATCCAGTGCCTCCCACAAGGGTACCGAATGGAACTGAATCAAGTTTTGGATGCAGGTGGCTTTTTGGGGGGCCAGGCATTGGCAGGTGATCAGATAAGCTATTGAGGTTGACTAGGTGGTCCATTCTAGAGTTTTCTACCCTCCTCCCTTAGGAAAAGCAATAAAAATCTGTTCCAACCTTAGTTAATTCAAAATCAGAGCAAGTGGGGTCAATAATAGTACAGATTAAATGGATCTTCCTTTGTTGTGTTCCTTCTACAGTAGAGATAGAGAACCGAGGTCACCCACCAACTACCTATAAGTATCTTCCTATAGTCTCAGCAAGAATTCATTTATTTTTCAACCCTTTCTTCCTCTTGCGGAATTATCTCCCTTTACATATTCTACTGTGTAGTTATAGAATTACATTTTTGATTGGTGTTGGAATCTCTTTCAGTTTCTTCCTATTTCTCCTAAATGAACAGTGAAGCCCCAGATTGAACAGATTAATAAGAATTTATTTGGATTAAATTATAGAAAATGGCTTAGAAATCCCTCCATTATTTTAAGACTTAATTGGTCTTGAGGTTACATTATATAATGTTTGGAAAACATGAATAGTTTATTGACCACAGTGAAAAAAACTGTGCCTTATCTGGGGCAAGGATGGTCTGTCCCGATATGTTTCCTTCAGCACCACTTTTTTTTTTTTTTTTAAAGACAAAACTTCAGTCAACATCTCCAAGTATAATAAAGTTACAATGAAAAACTTCATCTTTCCATATTTTTCTCCTGAAGCAAGGCTTTATTCATCCAGGCTGTATAGACTTCACTGATTGCATTTCTGACCTCTACAGTTAGAATGACTTAACTTGTCACATTTATTAAATATAATCTTACATGTTGTTATAGATTTGATTCATGTAGATCATTATCCCTACCTCTTTTTTCCTAAAAGAATATTTGTATATGTCTGTGTTCATGTGTGTGTCTTGTTTTCTGACTCTGAAATGTTTATTATGCCTTAGACAGTTACCCCAGGGAGATTATGTAAAAAAGCCTGGAGATGGCGACTCTTTTTATAGCGACATTCCTCCTGGAGTCAGCACAAACTCAGCATCTAGTTCTAAGAAGAGGTCTGCTTTTCTGTCGCATTTTCAGATTTCTACCTGTTCCATCACACATTATTCCATTAGTCAGAACATTTCATTATTTTGCAGCAGGTTTGATTACTTCTTCCTTCTTTCTTGAATGTTAAAAAATAGTATCCTTTGTTCTTTGATTACTGTGCTTCCAAATGCCATATGCTCAGAACCACTTGTTAAGCAAATCAGGCCAGAAATTGAACCAAAACTAAACCAAACCAATAACAATCCTAAATCTACATAGAAATCCTAGGGTTTTTCAATCTTGCTCTTATATGGCTTAAGAAACTATACATAGTAACTTATAACATTTTAAATGGTGAGCTTTATGTCATGTTGGGTAGTCAAAGAAAAAGGTTACTGTCATGCTTCAGTAAAGCAGTTGTTAAATTGGTACTATAAATGCTGCGTTGAATATTTTTAAATTTTAAATATACCAAAGCTAAGCTTGCTGTGAAAAAAAGATCGCTTCTCTGTGAATCATATATTTGAATATTATGATTTTGCCTTTTCCTGGAATGATTATTTCTAGACTTTCTAATTTAGAATTTGGTTGCCAAATTAAATATATTTAATATTTGCCTGAATTTTATAATAGGACAAGTGGGGTTAATATATTATTTATATGTCTTAAACTTTGATGTTATATTCTTGCTCCAGGATCTTAGGGTGTATAAGACCATTTAAAATTCTGCATGCTTTATAATTGCTTAATAAAATAAACTGGTAGAAGAAATAAATAGTTGGAATGTTTTAGGAAATGAGACCTACATTCACATTGAAGAAAGCTAAAATGTTCCTGTGGAAGAGTTTCTTTAAAATTGGTGATAGGGGTGTAATGTACAGAAAAAAAAGATTTGATAGCCCAGTACATTGCTTTGGGCACAGTGGGCACTTTGGAGACTGAAGGGGAATTTCTAGTTTATTTAGAAGAAACGTGATCTCTTCTGGAATTCTATACAGAGTGAATCACCTGTAAAAATTCTGCAATGGATCTCACTCTGTAAATAATCACAAAGGAGAAAAGAAAGAATCAGTATATCTGGGAACTCTTCTTTATGTGGAACTGTCTTAAGTATGAGGGATTGTTTTTACTCAGATAACATAGCTTAGAGAAAAATAAAAATATTAGTTTTTGCACAAGGAGTACAGATCTATAGACGGATGCTCAAAATTTTTTTTCTTTTTATTGGGGTATTTTTGGCTAAGATAATAAGGTTTATCTAAATTCTGTATATAAATATTTTCTTGGTCAAATATTTAATTTTAAATTAAATAACATGGTAAATAGATAGAGAAATCAATGGATTCCAGCAGAATTTCTGTTGTCCTTCTGGACAAAATAGGATTCATTCTATAATTAGCAAATTATGTTGTAAAACTCCTAATCTGGGGAATTAATGTGTAATAGTTGTGCTGAGTTCCATTTATTTTCATTCATCAATAGAAGCCTCCTTTTAAAATAGACATTATTAGTGATTAACTGGAATGATGTGTGGAAAAGATTTTAAATATAGTGCTCTTGTCTAAAGTACCTCAAGAAGAGCTTAAAATACTGATTTGAATAATTCCCAGATATTAGAAGAGTGGGTTATGACTTTTAAGTAGTTAAAAATCGTATCAAATTATGTGACTCCTCCTAGATACATGTAGTTTGTCAAAACACTTTTCTTATGTGGTACAGGTAGGTGTGTAAGTTTTGCTTCTTGTAGACTATTTAAGATGGCCAGACACAGGACAAGGGCTTAATGGTACATGGGCTTTGTGAGAGACACTTCCATGATACACATTTGATTCAGTTTGGTTACTGGGCAATTAACTAACAGTACTACATTTTTTGGGGGGGCATATTTGTGGAGAAAATGCCAATTCTCAGAAAATAGTTTTATTGTTTAAGAAAACCTAAATATTACTTTGATAAAGGTTGACCGGTTCAATTGAACAGATCTTAATGAAATCTCTTGGAAGTCCATGTTCTCATAATATCTGAATGAAAACCATTGCTTTACAATTAAGAAACATCTATAGTGGGACCCCATTATAACTCTTCTGCTCGGGTTATATAACTGAACTATGAAGTGAATTTGCTGTATGTGGTTGTTGGGAATGTAATTGGCTTGCACGGTATGCTGATACTTTTTCATTGTACACTATTGTAATGGGGTTCCATTGTATTTGACTTTTCTTAAATTGAATGTTGTGTAATTCTGCCTTCTTCATGAAGACTTTCATGGTCTCTTCATTCTTTCATTTCAGATTTTTTTCTTTCTTGATTTATTTAATGCACAGTAATGCTTACAAATTTTGCTTACTGATTTTAAAACTAAGTTCACTTGATTGTAGTTTTGAACAGTATACACACCTTTTCAATTTCAGGTCGAATGGGCTTTCTCATTCTTGGAGTGAAAGGATCCCGGACACAAAACACATTTCAGACATCTGTGAAAACGGACGACCTCGAAGCAACTCTTGGCAAGGTATACAGCAGCCTTCTGAACAGCTAGTGCATCTGTTTGCAGAACCCCAATTCTATTTTGTGGTTCTTGGCTGTAAAGATTTGTTCCTTCATGTATGCTCTTTAGTTCTTCTCCCAACAGAGAAGAGGGCATTTATTATTTCTTTCTTTATTTCTTGGATGGGGAAAGATGGGATTCGGTAGCACCAATGTGAGAGAAGGCTATATGGAGTACCCTACTTGTAGCCCTAGGTTCTGGGAGGGGCTGGCTGTGAATTACACCACTTGAAATACCCTGTAATTACCCATGTGACAGTTGTTTGTTTACATTCAAATCTAGCCATAAACTGTCTTTTTCAGGTAACCTGGGAGGCAACAGAAAGAAAATCAGAGGCAAACGATTTAGACCTCGGTCTAATTCAACTGAGTAAGTCTAAACCTCTAATGGAAAAAGGCATTCCAAGGTCCTGTGCAGTTAGTGTGCAGGGTTAAGTAACGAGAGATCATCAAAGAACTGTAAACCATGCCTCTGGTCTTGGTTTTGTCTTTTTAATTCCTTTTTGCCGTTTTAAAATTAACCATGGCTTTTCTCTTTTACATAGGCATCTCCGCAACTGTGCCCAAACCAATATTCACTGATAGTGGGGGGTCCCACCCTCGCTGCAGGCTTTTTCCTCCAGTAACCTGCCATTGTGGTGTCTTGGTTCCTTTCGAAGGGAATTTTGATAACATTCCTTTCTTCTCATCACCCGGGGTCCAGCCATTTCAGAGGGGTCACCCTTCCTCTTCCCAGTATTCACACAGCCTAGAAGCATCAGGCAAAAATTCCCGCCGTCCTAGAGCATGAGACTGCTCACAGTGTGAAACCACCGCCCGGAGGGCTTCATGGCTGCAATCTAAGCATTCTCTCAGACTAATGGAATACGTATTCCCTTTTAAATCTTCCTTCTGAGGACATTTAAAAGGGCACTTACCAAAACTTGCTCTTTAACGGAATCATTGTCACTAATTGCAACACTATCTGTTTTAAATGATAGCCACACTTTTTTTTTAAGGGGGGGGTGTAGGATCAGAAATTACATTTAAAGTTATTTCTAATGAGGTAAACACCATGCATTTTTTTTTTTTTTGATTGTTTCTTCACTCAAGAAAGTACAGCAAAACCAAGCTTCCTCAAACCTTTATCCCACGTCGAGGAATCAAACACACCCTCAATATCCTTCTGGACCTTGCTACCAGGTTTTAATTAACCATACTTTTTGGACCTACCTAAACTTTTTTTTTAACTTCTTTCTCACTACATTGCTAGCTGTTGTTTTCAGGATCACCTTTGCCTCTTCATGCCTTAATACTTAAAAAAAAAAAAAAAGAATCTGAATAGCAGGTGTTTGTTAACTGCTTGTCCGAAACTTATGTTAGCTTTTCCATCGTATACCCTGCCTTTTTCAGTCCAGGAATAAAAACAGTGCCCTGAAATTTGGACCTTCCTGCTGATGGTATTGTCTTGTAAGTGGCTTGTCAAAAGTTTGCTAGAGGATACTTTATTTTAGAAACAATAGATAGGTTTCAGTGATAACCATTGCATGGTCCAGAATGACATCATAGAACTCCATCATAAATAACTAATCTGTTTGAGTTTATCTTCTACATTCCCAAAGCGCTTGGATGCTTTAGGGCTCATTGTGGATAAACTCTTGGAATGTTGTTTGATTTGTTTTGCATGAGGTCACCTGGTAAAGAGCGCCTTAGGTCATCTCAGTTGCTCACAAGAATACAGATAAAACTGCGAAATGTTCTTCAGAAATTCCTTGGTGTACTGGTTAGCATTTTAACAGCATTTCCTATATAATAGGGCTTTGAAAACTCCTGAGTGAAAATAAACCAGTGTTATATTAAAGCTATGTATTTAGGACCCAAACAACACTTGGTGTTTAGCAAGATTCATACAGTATTTTCTAGCACGGTCACTTACTTTTTAAAACTCTTCTGTAAAATTCCCACTCATATAATATGATAAAAATTATAATACTAGATAGCCCTTAAGGAATTTCTTGCCTATGAGATAACACTATAGTATTTAATAAGATGTCATGGTGGAATCGTCTTTGTGAGGAAGAAGTATTAAGGACTCCCTCAGATTTTTCAGACTTTTCAGATTTGGGTTACATGACTCATGTTAATTAAATGGAACCAAGTCTGTGAGGTTGACCATTATTGTCACGTACCTTATTGTATGGGCACTATATACCTATCTATATATTTTTGTTTTTCCTTGAAAAGAATCCTAATATATAGCATATCAGGAGTTATGTTGACAGTCTTTTCTTATACTTTCCATATTTGCTAAATAATCCCTTTTGCTTCAGATATGGACATTATAATTTGTGGGACTATAAGAGAAGCAGAATGACCCTTTTTTTATTTTTTAGATTAAAAGATATCATCGAGTCCATTATTTCAACATCCCCTTTAGTACCCATCATCCCAAAGGATGATGAAACATCAGGACATGAATTAAAACGTTCACCACAAATGCATACTCTGCTAATTAACAACCTACAGTGTCCTTGTTTATTGTATTGTTTTTTCCACTCAAAGTTTTTGCATCTTCCTCACTGTTGTACATGATGTAAAAAAAGGTTTTGGCTTAGACTTTGTGTTATATATTGTGTTTTTACAGGAGGGAGCCCCAAGCACCTGAGCCTGGGCACTCCCTCGCCCAGACAGTCCCATCCCAAGGCATAAGCCCAGGGGGCTCTGACAGCCCCCAGACAGGGAGTCTGGATCACAGGTCAGTCTCCACCTGCCCCTTCATTCTGGGCTGCCACTTAATCTCCCTCCTAGTCCCTTCCTTGGCTGAGAACAGGGTCATTTGATCTTTGACTGACCCCCAACGTCTGCTTGGACATGGTCCTGGTCCAGCCAGCACCAGCTAATTTTCCTCTGCCTTATCCATTCTGGAGAACAGAAAGAGCTCTCCTCCCCTGTCTAACGCATTTTTTTTTTGCATGTTGCGCTACCAGCCAACTCAAGCCACGTAGGCAGGTTTAGAGCGGTTCGATAAAAATCCAATCACTTCTGCCCCCACCACCTAGAGATGCTAGGAAGCCCACCGTGAAGACATTTTCAGGGGCAGATCCCCAGCAGGAACCACCATTGAGAGCTCTCTTCAGTGACCTCTAGTGAAGTGATCACAGCATTCTGAGATGCTCCCCGAAACAGAAGGAAAGGTCCAACACATGCAAGCCAAGCCATGCAGCTGTAGGTTTCATGGAACAGCCATGGCGTCCGTGCTTTGAGCTTCTAAGATTGTCAGTGAAAGGAACACACGTCTCCTCCTGGAAGCTGCCTGTGGGTGACTCAGTTTGCTGTGTGGCTATGTTTCACCTGATAACAGCTGCATGGGCTTTTTCTCGGGTTTTCCCCAGGCCGGAGCATTCACTGGCCTTCATCTCTGGCTGCACTTGCGTTTTGACTTTTTCTTTTTGTTCAAAGTCTCAGTGGGGGTTTTTACGCAAGTTTTAATTGGCTATCTCTGTGAAAAGTGCAAGTTGGCAATGATTGTGGCTAAAGGCAAAACTAGCTCGAGTTGTTCCCGAGGCAGGGGACACTGTCTTAGCAAAAATGGTCTCACAGACATAAAAAGCATCTAAACCCTTCTCTTAGGAGGGAGCTGCATTGGTTATAGCTAAAAATGAGGGAAAGGGCTATGGAAAAAGTAGTCTAATTTTGTTTATATAACCAGAAATGTGGTCATGATTTAAATGTATTTACAAACTAAAACCAAATATGGTGGAAAGAAGTAAAGTTTAACCCCAAATGAATAGTGTATTTTATCTTTCCCCTGGTTTCTTTCCAAATAACTTGCAAAGTTTGATAGAGCTTGCATCTTCGTTATCTGTAGTGTTTCTAGAAGTTACTTTTTTTAAATGAGAAAATTCAGTACAACCTACAAATTGTTCCACCATTGGATTTGTTGAATCTGTATTTATTTTACAAGAGCACATTCTGAAAGGGGATGTGTTTTTGCTTGGCTCCCTGGGTTCAAATCAAAGGGGAAAAACAACAATAACAACAACAACTTGCACTCCCAATTTACCGTCTTTTAAATTTTCCTTTGCGCAGTAATTCCGATGGAGACTTTGCCAGATCCATTAGGGAAATGCTAAGGAAGGTCATTTGTATCTTCTGGCAGTCACTCACATAATTCATGATCAGACATTCAGAAGGCAACTTCTGAGGCCCATTTCCTAATGGAAACACAAACACGTTAGTCTGGAGTGCATAAAAGGAAGAAGGAATATTGCAGCTACACTAAATTGCTGAACCCAACCTAAAGATCCTGGAGACCTATTTGGCCCACACTTAATGTGTCTGGGGGCTCCGGGATCAGACGAGCGGGAGCCTTTCTGCTCTCTCTATAGCCAACCGGAGCACCTTTCTTGTTAACTCCAGCCTAGGGTCTGCTATCTGGAGTGAGACGGAAGCCATGTAAAGTCTTTTTTTTTTTTTTTTTTTCATATTGGAAAGAGAACATTGCTCCTTTTAATTGTTCTTGGGGTGTTATATACCCAAACACCAGGTTGGAATTGCAGCCATCTGAATATTCTCAAAAAGCATCGTTATCATTTGAAAACCAAGGAGCCAAATGAGAGGTGGCCTGGAAAAAGCCACTTTGGAGGTGGGTGAATGGGACCTCTGACAGTGCTATGATTGGAAGACAGCTTCTGATTCCCTTGGGGAAACCCCTGCCAAGGCTTTCCCTGAAATGTTGAATACATTCTAGAATGCCTCGAGCCTCGTTGTAGCTGAGTTTATTCTCATGTCATCGTACAGACTGCCTCATAACCCCCAGCATCCATCCTGGTTTATTTGCCATAGTCACTTGCATTTGGAGGGTGAAGAACATCCTTGCTAAGCTTGTGCTGTGTATTTTCAGATTTTCTATCTTGTTCTGCTTTCTTTGTTCCTTCCATTGCTTTCTGCAGGTATTTAAACCCATGGTTCAAAAGAGACTATAATGTAGCTAAGTGGGTAGAAGATGTGAATAAAAACACTGAAGGACCATACTTTAGGTATTTTATACATTAATTTTATATCCTTTTCAAACTCTCCCAGCACATACAAATACTGTAGTGTGACTGGCTCTCTAGCTTGTATCTCCCAAATACAAGTTCCCATAAGTGGAAAGGGTCCTTGTTTATTTGCTGCCTTTTGATCTCTGTTTCTGGCTTCATGAGCAAGTCTAGTTCTTTTCTGAATGTTTCAAATGAAGCCATTTGAAAGGGTTACCATTTAGTGCATGCCCCCATCACCATCTTGAGCTTTTTAGTAGCTTTCTCTTCATTTTATGCTATGTAGTGTTCTATGGGCATGAAACATACTTTCCACTAATAAAGAAGCATTATTAACCTGAACAATTTAATT